GGCATATATGGCATGCATGGAGTCTATCTGATATAGGTGCCTAAAGTGCTTCTAAATGATAACAGCAGTGTTAACAGCAGGTGATATGGTATAGTAGTATAGTATGGTATAGTATAGTATAGGTGATAACAGCAGCTGCTGGCGCCTTGCTGGCCAAGCAGCGAACAAACATGATGCGGCTCTAGTGCCTTGAGAAAACTGCACCCGAGCGCCTTCGTTTTGGCACTTGGTGCAGAAGCGACGCATCTAAGTCCAAAGCTGAAGCACCTGGTGCAGAATTCGTGCCAGGCGGGCAAGACATGTACTGTAGAGGCCAGGCGGTTGGAAGGATAACACATGAGAACACCCATTGCCTAACATGTATAAATACAAATGCCTGTGCTCTCAAACGGTGATAGATGGGTGAGTGAAGTGCTTGGCCACCAGGGATTGGCTACCAGGCTGTCAGGCTTGACAACCTGGCACCCCTGGTTTCGCCACCGCCGTGGCGGTCGATGTTCTCCCCTAGCGGTTGCCAAGGCCGAGACTCTTGGGATGGCACACGGGCGCCCCTCCGGCCAGGTCTTTCTTGTCAGTTCTCATCGATTGATTCCTTAGTTACCTACATTGCAGGTCATTTTCCTGGGGTAGATGCATGCAACTGCTCCAGTCCCATTCGTCTGGCCTGGGTGCCGAAAAGGACTGGGGAAAAACCCCACGTTCCCCGGGCGCGATAACCTCGGCCTCCGTCGCGCGCGATGCCTTGACGAGACCGGGCCACATTGACGTCGGAGGGATGGAGGTCTTCCACCTGGCGGCGCGAAGTGGTCGACAAAAGCCGCGTGGAACAACGTCTCAGGACTCGATGACATCAGGGAACATCAGGGAGCATGGTCTTTAGGAATCCCGCTTTTAAGCAGCTGCTTATTTGGCTCTTCAGACATATGGCTCTCCGGTACCAGCTGCTTCCGTAAGGGGGGCTGGACAACCCTACACTGCTTAGTCACGAGACAGGACACCCAAACAGGAAGCGCGCCACGGTAGGTGTTCCCTTAAAGCAAGTCTGGGAATGACACCGGACCGTGACAAATCTGAAACCGGTATGACCACTGACCACTTGATGTATCAGATCTCGATACTATGGGCTTACGTCGAGATCTGGTCAACAGTGCGGATGAAACTCCAAGAATGAGCCTGCGTGGATGAAAACCCATTTCTCCTCACACCTTTGAAGCCCCCATCACGGGGTTGACCAAGATGACCAATCTTCCAGTCAATTCCATCAAAGCCTGTAATAATTTAACATATCGATCTGTATGATATATACTATACGAGTATATGCGTATGTGCATGCATTCACTCACACGTTCCCATATATCATCTAGAAGTAGAACCAGCCTTGCCACCCTTACAGTCGCTACCTTCGCGACCTGGTCAGCCAGTAGCTGGAGGAGCCGCCCGAAACCCATGGCGTCGTTGACCACCGCAGGTGCCAGGCACGAGAAGGAGGCCAAGTGGGCCGCACAGAGTGTGGGTGGGGCTCGCTGAAGAGCTCAGCCGAGCAAAGTTCGGGCAAAGAACATCAAAGAACCCACGGAGCTCGTGATGCTGCTGGATCGAGCCTGAAGAGAATTCAAATGCCATATATGTTTGGGCCCCGATTTTGAGCTTCTCAGCCCATGATCAGCTAGTTGACGTCGAACATGGCTGTTTTAGCTCCATTCGGTTGAGCACTTCACTTCAAGAATCCTCTTCACTCGGCAGAAACTATCCTCCCTGCATCTTGCATCATTTTTGGGCCCCCCCGCTTGAGCCCAAGAAGCAACGGCACAGTCCCAACCTTCAGTGCTAACGCTGGCCCACATTACCGAATCTAATGTATACTTCACTGGCATGACATTAGATTAACGAAAACCAAAACAATCCTACAAAACTGGTTGGACATCCAATGTTTGCTACCAAGTCCAATCTTCACACTAGGAAAACTCGTGCTTCGTGCTTCCTTTTGATTTGTGTGGTTCTTATTCCACCAGGCAGTCTTAATAATGGATATGATTTCTGGCCACGTGCTCCTGTCAATCGGCCCCCCTTCTTCCGTGCTTGTGAGCACATCGCACCCCAAAAAACATCCAACCCTAAGAATCAACAACCCTCAGTTCGGTGAAGGTTGGTTTGGGTCCAAGCCCCTGCGTTCTGTGGTCGGGTCCAAACCCTCCAGAAGTGGTCGGGTCCAATGATTCTTAGGGTGCGTCAAAACCCTAAGGATCCTTGGACCCTCTTTAGAAGGGGTCGAACCCTCTAGTTCACAAGGGTTTGGGGCCCCGAACCAAACCCTTGTTTTGTTTCGGGTGCGGATCCTTAGGGTAATTCTTCAACAGACCTGGCCAGTTTCCTCCAAGCTCCATACCTTGGCGGCCTCATTCTCTCCTGTGCCGAGCTGCGTTTGGGATCCAAGTGAAGAAGGGTGTCCGGTGGGGTCGGCGTTTTTTCGAAGGGTGTCGGACCGTCGGATTGACATGCCCTCTTGAGCCCAAAGTCCTGTTGTGCAGCACTTGGGGACCATGTTGCTTCTCCTTCAATGGCCCCATCCCAACCAGTAAAACGTGGTCCCCTTCGCCTGCAGGACCCGACGCACGACCCAGTAAGGGGATGCGCTGTCCGGCTGATTCCGGCTGAACGACGATCTGGTTCATCACGACGTGGTCACAAAATGTCACAAAGCCCAGGCGCTCCATGTATGCCATATTTGCCTACATTGACCCCCCAAAGCACCTGAACTGATCGGCATATATGGCAGTCCCATGGAGCGTCTGGGAAGGATTTGAATGAAGTTCAGGGCTTGGAGCGTCTTGGGGGGTGAGACGTACTTGGACCGACCGGAAGAACAGATCTGAAGGTGACGTGACGAAAGACCACCGTCTGGCTGAACTCATGGAAGGCTCCAAAAAGTCGGAAGGCCGGTCCATGCCAGTCCCGGATCCGTTTTCGTACCGAACCTCAGGTACGGTGAGGTGTTCGACTCGACACTGCTATTTGCCGGTGCCAGTCGGGTCCGTTTAAGAAAGCGAACCTGAGGTTCAAGCAGGTCATGAGTCAGGTTCAAGTAGGCTGCCAGGTGTTTTTGTTACCGTACCTATAGGGCACGAAGGTCCAAGAAAACCTGGCAGCCCTCGCACGTTCGGGGTTCCCCCCTTCCGCCCGGCACCTTTGGGTGCGACCTCCTCAGCCAGTTGCGCTGGCAAGTTCCCCATGGCTCCGGTGAGCAGAGGACCAGGCGGGCGGAGAAGGTCACTGCTAAGACCCTTGGAGGAAGAGTTGGTTGATGTGGAGTGAATCGAGGATCATCGAGGTACTTACTTATTGCTGGGTTCATCCATGTTCCATCATTCATATATTCCATCTGTCTGTCCGCGTAGAACGGGTGCGTTTTCCAGCTTGGAGATCCTTTCCCCTTGGGCTTCGCCTCCTCTTGAGAGGGACTCGCAGTGGACCCGTGAACTCGCCGCTCGAGCCTTGTCACATGGGTCTTGCCACCCTCTCATCGGAAAACAGCCAGCCTTTGGCGGTTTCAAACTCACAAACAAAAACTATTGGTCAGGGGGTTCAATCATGTTCAAGAATCCCAAGCAAAGGTTGAAAAGGAAAATAACCACCCAGCTTTGCATTGGGGCCCATCAGGTCTGCTCTGCATTTCCCTGCAGTTTTCGGAAGACCCACAAACTACAGAGGTCTCAAGCACCTGCACGTTCGATTTCGTCTGCCCTACACTACCTGTGGATCTCCATTGAATACCCCGACATGAAGGTCCAGGTATGTAACGTGGATTTTGGATTTCAATCTTCTGCCTAGACGACTTGCTACAAGGATCTCCTGTTCATCCATCTTCATGCGTCTCTCGTTAGATCTCAGCTACTTCGGCCCTGAGCCAACAAAGTGCACCGGCAAATTCAAAAGACTAAAGGGCTCGACATAGCTCGATGTGGTGCGAAAAACCAACCCCAAACATTCTAAGCATCCGGAGGCTAACTTGCGAACATCGGAACCGTCTTTGAGTGTCCTGGAACTCCAACACCCAGCATCAACAAATCTCAAGAGCTGTCAAGCCCTAGGGCCCTAAAAGTCCAAAGGTCCAAACCTACCAACGTCGCGTCTCCAATCACCTCCTCAGAAGCTATGTAGATCCGTAAGGAGTTAGCAAGTGCTGCACAGTAAATCCCTCCGACCACTTCCAGCACAAGAAACACCAAACGAAAGGGAACCAACCTTGGCAGTCCGCTCAACCAGCTTCTCTTAGCTTCTCGGCAGGCACCATTCGGTGCGCTTTCGGTGCAACGACCGAGCCAAGGGGGCCCATCGGACCAAGCGTCAGGACGAGCCAGTGATGTCTTTGCTTGGCAGGCGCACCCACGAATCTTCGCGGAGCTTCACATCGACCAAATCGATCTTGCAGCTGTTCGAGGATCTCGGCAGTTCAGTGAACAGGGCAAGATGGTCATCTTAGGTCTTAGGATGCCTTAGGATGTCTTGGGTCCTTTCTCTGGCCGATTCAGGGTGTTTGCACGTGCCCCAGTCAGTCCTTCCCTCTAGAGGATGAGGGTGACCTGCCAGCATGCCAATTCAAAACTTGCAAGTATTTGGGATACGTGCAATCCAAGCCACACCTTTTGGTTCAATTTTTGGGATGCCTTTTGTCCAGGGTGGTCATTGTCAATTCGACATTGCTGGTCTGAAGTTGGGGGAAAAAAGTAAGATTGTGTTTAAAATTGTTTAAAGGGTTTTGAGGCACAATTCCGCAGAAGCGAGGAAAGGGATGCGGTCTTTAGCACCTACAGGGGAAAGGATCTTTTGGAAAGGGATGAGGAAAGGAGCATACAGTTCTACGGTTTTTATATAAACCAAAAAACACCAAACCAAGCAAAAAAAACAACAACTACATGGATGTCTTAGCTTGGACTGGGACTGTTGCCTACAAACTGGTGGTTTTGCAGTGCAATTGTTTGTCGTTCCTTTAACCTGTTCTGCGGGGTCTCAAACCTTTACCAGGCGAAGTTCACCTGGTTTTGGTCTCCTGCTTGGGGGAATAATGAGGGAATACTAGAGGGGTCAGTGCCAGGTACGAGTACCATATACCTATTGGTTGCCAAGGCCGTGACAGGTATGACATGATACCCCAGACTGCACAACCTGCGAAGCCCTCAATAGCTGAGCTACCAGCAGTGATGCACAGTTGTCATTGATGCTACTTCCAGTCACACCCCATCCGGCCGGTGGCGTCCAATCAATCACTCACCCTACAACCCTTAGGTGTCACAGTGGTCCAAAGGCTAGCTTTGTGATATGTGGACCGTAGACCCCAAGGCTATCCCTGAATCTTTCTGGCCCATGCCAGCTTGAGAATGGCTTGAGCCAAGGCTGGCCAGCCTTGCTCTTCCGGCGCGAAAACTCCGCAAGAAAAACATCTACTTGGCGATCTAGGCCTTCCAAGATGTGTCATCTGCTACTTCTTGAAGGAAACACACAAACCGATCCAGCTTGAAGGAATGTTCAGGTATGCTCAGGTCTCTCATGACCCTACAAGCTTTGGCGATTCTGATAATAATCACCTTGGACAGGTGATTCTTCTTCTTCGATTCTGATTCCGTGATTTCTCTTTTTTCGGCCCCAAACCGCCAAATGTCCGTCCACCGGTCGTGGGCTCCACATCCGCCAATCTGTCGTTGATGTGTTGATTTCACAGCATTGGTTTAAGTACTACGTACAGTATGTTTACTGTAAGTGAACACCCACAGAAAACCCACAGTTTTGGTGACTAAAACCATGGTTTCCTGTAGATTTTCCCTTGAGCCAACTCCGTCATGACCCCAAAGTAGAGAGTTCCGCAGCCTTACACTCTTGACGAGCACATCACATGGAAGTGGATGGCCTCATCCCTTGGAACAATGACTTTCCTCTAGAAACAGGGGGGGCTCCATCCACTTCCATAGAAACATGAGTCCCAGTCTTGCTTCCGTCGCTTTCCCAAAACTCCAAGGGGGTTCCGGGGTGACAAGGGGGTTCCGCGTGTCAGGGGCATTCCTCCCGTTTACGGCACCCCAACATGGCACTGCTGGGGGGGGCGATATGTGACGCCAACGAGCCTGGGAGACCAGGTCAACATCTTCAACTGAACAGGTCACGAAAGAGCTAAGTGTTCTGAAACATGGCCTTCCAGGATTCATTGAAGGACCAATGTTCAATGACCTTCATGAAACTTTCACATATGTTCTTAATGTTCAATGAGCCAAGGTCATGAAACTCCCATTGAACAATGTTGACCAATGTTCCATACTCCCACTTGAACTTCATGAAACTGGAGAAACCTCATGCGCTCCGAACACTGTGATAAACCTGGGACCTGCCCTGTGGGGAAAGCAGGATCACTGGTCGCTTTTGGCACAGCTGCACGGTCGCTCAAGTGGTACTTGGTTTTGCCAGGTATCTGATGCCATCTGGAAATATCTTGAACCCATTCAGCATCCAAACGCCTGGAATCAAAGAAACTAGAACCCATTCCTCTAAGCCTAGCCTTCCAAAACGATGAAACACGGATTGACATGGTTGTGTTGTGTGAAATCCGTTGTAAAACAATGCTTGCTCGGTAAAGACCATTAAATCCATGGTTGGAAGCCGGTCTATAGAAATCCTAGCAGCTCTACCACCCCTCGTCTCCAGCAGTCTCGGTAGTCCTATGGCAGTCCTATGGGTCGGGTCGAACCAACCTAGCTTCAGCCACTAGTAGTATCTAGTAGCCTAGTGGTGGCCCTCCAAAGCTAGTAGCGATGGCCGCCAACATCCTCCAACCGATCCTAGATCCGAAAGAAGAACCTCTCGCGTCTTGTGTCTCGCGGACCGGGAGGCCAGACGCCGACGTGTCCGGCCGGGGCAGCGTCTGGGAAAGAGGTCGGCGTGGTCGGACCCGTCACCAAGGGTCGAAGAAACACATACAAAGCTCGCCTTTTTTGGGGGGGGGGCCAAGGCGGATTGGGATTGGACATCGTTCTATTTGTTCAACGAAACTTCATCGTCACAAGTGGTTGGTGATGATGTATTCTGCACCAAATGGGCATGTAGTATGAGATGAAAGGGATAGACACTTGCATTGGGGTCATTCCGATGTCGTTGCCCTTTGTTCCATTGCGACCCACTGCCAGCTATGGAGTCAATCTTGCTATATTCTCTGCCTCCCACTATGCTTAGGGTCCAAAATGGTCCAACATGTAGACCCGGAATGACCCGGATGACACAGCCAACAGGACACTGCACCGAAAAGAAGCACCACCACAAGACCAACACCATGACTCAACCTGGATTGCAATGGTCCTGCTGGAGAAAGCCAGGGGATCAAGTTCGGTCAAGAAGGGAAGATCCGTGACCTGATCACTTCGCTCTTCAGTTCGTGATCTCCCAGCTTAGTCTAACGATCCGTAAAAACCACGGGTGCTTCGTGAAGAACTGAAGAACCCTATAAACCATCCAACGGTGCTTGGACTCCGAATGACTCAACACGAACACTACGAGTTCCGACTACTGACCGTCACCCATGCTCGACCTCTCCGACCTCTCCCCATCTGCCCGGCAAAAAGATCCAGCAAATTCTTGCACGAGCAGCCATCCCAGAAAAACGCACGTCTAGAAGGGTCTAGAATCTAGAACATGCAAAACAAACATAAAATGAGCCTGATATCAAATAGATGCTGGTGTCTTGACATCATCTTTTTATAAACACCTTTGTGGCATGGATGATTCAACATCACCCAATCATCCAACATCTCAGTCGGTTCCTCTGCCGCCCTTGTGGAGGCGAAGTTGCGGGTGACACCTTCCAGTAACGATAATAACGCAAATGAAATAACGCCATGGCATATGAACTTCCCTTGCATGTTCTTCACTCAAGATGCTCAAAAGGGTTTTAATCAAAACGCTTAAGGGGAAAAACATCATCCGGCGCTGCACATGCAAGTGACCACGCCCTGCCGCATGCCTCACGAATTCTCACTGTTTTGAATGCGCAAGGAGGATCGGAGATGTTCCAAGTGCTGAAGTGCCTGCTTTCACCGATCTGCCGCTACTCTCAACCGGTTTCGGTCGTAGGTCGTATACGTCGTCCCGGAATTGGTGCTATGCAGTTCGCACGACCCCAAAACGGTTCCCACTTTCCAACACACAGCCATATGCAGTCAAAATGGCCCTTTTTCTCAAGATTTCGAGTGCTTGGCCCGAACTTGGTGCTTTGTCCCCAGCGCTCTGCCGACCCAAAAAAAACCACCGATGCACTCGTCACCAGAGCGTGGAACTCACGCACCGCAACTCCGGCCGACCACGGCCACCGCTGAAAACCCACAAGGCACGCACGCACGGTCAACGAGGTCGAGCCTCGCTGACTCTCTTGTTGGACTGCCTTAACGTCTTGGCTTGCTTCTGCTGATCCAGGACATACTCTTCCTCGGCACCAGTGGGCGAGCCGATCGCCCTCGCTTTTGGCGCGTATCTTGTTAAGGGCGGGTAGATTAGGAATGAGCCAAAAGTCCAAGATCGGCTTGCCAGGAGTCATGCCGCATCTTACACATTATCTTCGACTTACATGGGGAATTCTGTCACAGTTGAAACAATTCCTTCAAGTTGGCCGTGCTTTAATTGGTATCGATTGGTGGGCTGCAATCCATATAGTCACACACGATTAGGTATTCACTTTGGTCGGTATGAACATACATGACCTGTATGACCTATATATTGTACTATATCAAACATGAATACGTCAAATTAATAGTTATTATACAGTATATCCGAAACACTCCATGCTCCATGGGACTGGCATATTTGCCTACATTCGGGCAGTGGACCTGGATCAATTCAATAAAGAGGGTAACTATATAAATGCAACTATGCAAGTCCCGGACAGGTTGTGTCTGGTCAAAACCTGGAGCCCCAAATTCTGGTGGGTTGACATCCCTTGTAGAGGAATCTCTTCATTTGATCCGCGGTCCAGCAGGGTGTCCGGGCTTGGCAGACCCAGGGTGGTCGTGCCTGGATTCGATCCGTGGTCCCTCCTCGCAGGACTCTTGGACTCCCGTTGTTCCTACCCTAAGGATCCGAACGGACCCTCCTTAGAAGGGGTCGAACCCTCTAGTTCACAAGGGTCTGTACCCGAACCAAACCCTTGTTTTTGAGGGTGCGCATCCTCAGGTAGTAGCTTCTTGCTTCTATAGTAGCGATGGCCTCCAACCTACTAGCGATGGCCTCCACCGTGCGTAGCTTCTAGCTACTAGTAGCTTCTTGTTCCTAGCAGCTTAGCAGCGATGCCAGTAGCTTGTTGCCGGCCTCCCGCACTTCGATGAGTCAACGACGGACGACTTCGCCCAGGCACCGGGAACAAGTGCCGGAGGAACTCGTCATAGTCCTCGGAACTCATACGGAGGAACCATTTGGATCCGGGGATCGAGAAGGGATTGGACACGGGGTTCATTGGATCCAGGAAGTGGATGGCACCACCCACCTATTTTGGGGGCGGCCGAGCTGCCATCTACTTCCATGATTCCGGGGAGTGTATGTGGAGAAAAGCCACACGAAGGGCACTAAAGAGCCAAACAAAAATCTTACGGATTTTTGTGTCTTGCCAATGGTCGCAGGCTAGCGCTACACTCCATCTTTTAGTCAAACACTTCATGCATGTATGACATACATTTCCCTGGGGCTCCAAGTACCTATGAGAAGGTGTTTGGGGTGGGTGCCATGTTCGGATCCAAATACCTTGAGGAGGTACGACTGGAGCCACAGGGTTTGGATGCTTTCAGGCGTCATGCCTGGTTCTTCCAAGTGACCTTTGCACACCCTCGCTTCCGTCCACAAACAGGCCTGTTTGACGGGTCACTTACTCCAACAGGTCCCTTTTCCAGCTGGTTGAGATGCGCCGACCACGCATCGTTCCCGAGCGCAAGTTAGGCATTCGCTGTTCGAACTGGTGCGAATGAGGAGCACAGGTTCTTCCATGGAGTGACACGCCCTCCATGCTGACCGCGATTCGGTCCGCGGAATGGTCCCGGACGGCGCCAAGAGACTAAGCATCCGTTCTGGTTGTCATCGAAGAGCACGAAGAGTTGGATGGCCACTTCGGCGCTAATGCCAATGCGCATTTGGTTGATCAAGGCGATAAACCTTCCGGATTTCTGGTCCGGATACAGGCTGAACATGGGTAAGGGTAAGGGTGAGGTGAGTGTATATATGGCAAACACTATAGTCACTAGGGTGCAGTTTCTACTTTTCATGAATGTTTGTGTGATCTAGCACTCGTCTGGTAGGATTTCTGGAAGTTCCTACGGTCGAGCTGCAGCGAGCGAGCCGTCTCTTTTTTACCTATAGCATGCAACCCTCGGACAAGTCTTAAAGGTCAAAAGCGTCTTTCTCCCTACCTACTGTTCATCCATAGGATTGCCCTGGCACGAGACAGAGTGTGCAAAATTGTGCACACAGTTGGACAATTTGCTATTAAAGAAATTGGAGGCATTCTACAAATTTCTACATTATACCTGCTATAACATGCATCCTAAGTATGCAAAATTACTGCTGTTTCCCGAAAAAGAGACCTAATTTTAAACGAAACTGCACTTTCCAGTGTTGTGTATGTGTTTGCTTTTTCCTAAAAATCGGTGACAGAACAACATGTGACGGAACGGCATCTATGACCCTCGCGAATCGGCGCCAAAATAGCCCTTCAAACAGCCACGGTTTTGAGTGCTTCGTGTTGAAGACAATGGAGGTTTGACAGCGGCAATTGTATCTTCTTTTTCGCCGCGGGAGTTTCTTCGAGACGGACCACCGGAGCTACAATGAACAAACGGCATTTCTTACCCGACCTTACCAAATGGCACTGGTGGACCCAGGTATGTAGTATTATGTTAGATGTCTAGACCGTGGTGACATCTGGTCACACTGTTGCGATTGGTGCCGATCAATGTTCGAAGCGCTGCAGGGATTTCCAACACCCGACCTTGACCCTGCTACCTATAGATATTCTGAATTCTTTAAAACAATAAATACACTTCGAAGATGGTCGAAGTACATATAGATCCCATCTTGTGATCATTTGTGGGTCTGTGCCGTGAAGATTCCAGGCTACAGAGTCCTGACTTTGAGGATGGAGACTACTTTGTCACCATTCTGATGATAAGGTTCAACTTCCCCCTCCATCCCTCCCCCAGTTTTTGTTGGCCTTTGGGAACCACCCACTCATGGCCTTTGGGAACCACCTCGCCCGTCACTGGATGTCAAGTCCCCAGAGGGACCATATCCTCTAAAAAGGGTTAGACCCCCCTGGCACCCACCCCTGGCACCATCTTCTCCTCAGGAGGGGGCGGCCAGGAGCCCCAGGATTACTAGATCCCAAACACGACTAGTGGGCCGGTCAATGTAGGCATCTATGGCATACGTCTTCTCAGGCCGGGAGGGAGTATGACTCCGAGAAACTCGGAGAGGTTCAAGTGGCCGTCGCCGTCTTCATCCACGAATTCCACCAACACCTCGAGGTCGGGGCGAAACCCGCAACGACGCCGTGAAGCCGTTCTCCGGCGCATCTTCGAGGGCCAAAGAGATGGTTTTTTGTGAAGCCAACGCCTATAAGTCAATGACCTCATTTGACTCCTGGCCTTACTAGGAGCAACAACGCTACGAACGGGGCTGAAGTCGGTCATACAAAAGCTCTACTCAAGGCGTTCTTCGGCTCCAGCAGTCGCATCTCGAGGACCGTGGATGTGATGTGGACCCCCGGACCTCCATGTGTGTGGGCACCCTGACATGTGACTGCTAGCTCCACGTGTCCTACGTTCAAGCTGCTGGAACGCCTCCGAGGTTGTTGCCGAAGCGAATTCTGCCTGTCTTGCTGTCTTCCTGCCGCCCTAAAGACCCAGTGGAGTTGGGTCGTATTCATGGTGCTCCAATGTGCCCTTAATCTTGTGGCGCGAGTGTTCAGGGAACTCCCAAGCTAGCTCCGGGTCCCTGCTTAAAAGGAAAAATGGATACCGGATGATACCGGCTCCTTCTTGCTTCTAACTAACCACCAGCTATAAGGCTACAAGCGTGAAACTGCTGATGCTGCAACCGATGAATATCGATGAGTAGACCCACCGAAGCTCCGTTTTCTGCACTTGAGTGATTCTGTTGCAGCAGGATGTCACAGGATGTCCAAATGCAACTCTCCACCCAAAGCGATCATCATTCTACCCACCCGCATGCGCCACCCCCTAGGCGCGTATGACAAACCCACCCGTCATGCAGAAATGTCTTCAGTCGCAATCGCCGGCGCCGACTACCGAGGCGCGCGCAAGTCTTGCGCGGTGTAGCCCCACTTGGCCAGGCATTTCCGCACGCGCGTCGTGAGGAGCACGCGCGAGCGGCTTTCCCAGCAGTTTTTGAATTCCTCAGGTTTTCTGGAGGAGATGCCGAATTTTAGTGCAGCTGGATTATGGCTACCTGGGAAAGGGCTTTTTTAGAACATCATAGAGCCAGCTTGCCATAGAAGTGATTTTGAAAGACGGTCTAGCGATGTTGTTGTGAGCTTTTGGTGTCTGGATGTGTCTGGTGGGTCTGGAGTCGTGATGTGCAAGTCTCGTCTGGTTCCACCTGATCGAACCTCATGGAATCAACACTTCATCAAGAACCTTGATCGGGTGGTAGGAGGGCGTAGTGCATGTACGTGTGAGCGAATCAGCACGACATTGAGTGAATTTTTGGTGTTCATGGTCTGGTGCCAATCATGTCGATCATTTGGAGCGACGTTGCTGCTGCTTGAGAGGGGGTCCCTAGAAATCAAACATGCTCAAATTTGAGGTATTAGAAATGTGTTGTGCCTGATGGATCCTGATGGAAGTCTGTCGTGTGGTAGTGTGGTACGGATGCAACCCAAATCTGACCACGAGAACGCGCCAATGACAAAGTAACCTCTCACACACACACACACCTCATGTGCGCGAGGTGTTTGCTCTCCTAGGGCTCCAAGTACCTTCGTGTCCAAGGTGTTTGGATCCTCGTACCTTCTGAGGAGGTGCCTCTGGAGCCCTAGGGTCTCGGTTCTTTTGAAAGAAAGCGACCGACAAACGTCGCGCGCGTCGTGTCTGTCACGTCCTTTTTCTCAGTGTTGAGGCACATGACCAATGATTCCCACCGGCAAGCCCAAGAATAAGACGCTGACGCATGAGAGGATGGAGACCACCACGTAGCCCGGAGTGGATTTTGGAGCAAAATCGCCGTAGCCCACGGTGGTGACGGTGACCAAGGCTAACCAAAGAGCATGTGGCATACCTCACCGGGGCATTTGGCTTCAAATCTGTTTGTTTTTTGCCAGACCATGACCTGTTTGGGAGATCTTGACCAGCCCATCCACCCCAGGTCAACCACCGAAGTAGATATGTGAGATGTCTATCCCAAACAGGTCGTGTCTGATCTCTTGGTCCTGAGCTCCATCCTGAGCGCCTCCGGGTGAGGCACCAGCCCTTCCGGGCAATCAAAGCACTCAACCAGGAGTTGATCATTCTCCACGAGTCAACAAGCCAAACTTGCATGGACCGAACACATGTTCGCTGGCACATGTTCGCTTCTATACCATCAACACCATGGTCCTTCCGTCAGACGTGACCCTTTCACCCACCGTGGCAGGCGGGACAGACCCAACAGACCCTATCTCTTGGTCAACTGCTGCCACAGATGCTGGGAATATTGTCCCGTGATTCCACCAAATAGATTGCACTGGAGGACAGCAAGGTAATGACGCCCATGGTGTACAGCAGCATTGGTAAGGCAGGGACGGAACGTTTGCAGGCGCCAATCAGCAAGTGGAAGGACTCCTTATAGACAGGATCAGCGAGTGTCACAGGTGATTTGAACAAAGAACCAATCAAAAACCTTCGCCAACAAACACCATGCAAAAGGCACACTCCGCCCACTACCTGCGCTTTTTGACGTCTCTCTGAAGGCATGTGTCCCATAAGTCAGCCGACTCTGCTCGAACTCTCATCTCGTAGAATCTGAACTGACTCCCGAGCCGTTTCCCTTGAAAAAAGAGGTTAACCTTGTCTGGTTGGTGGCTCCTCAACTAAAGGTTGCAAAAAATAACAACCGAGGCTGAAACTAACACCAAGTTTTTCTATCTGGGTAGGTTGATTAACAACCTCCCCCATTTCAATTGAAGAGCCTCTCATACGGGCGGGCTAAAAATCGTCAAGCGTCATCAAGCGTCTACATGGTCGATTCAAAGATCTGGGAATCTTGGACAGCCACACACTTGGTCCAACTTCCAGGACGGCTTAGCATTTTGGGCTCCAGCGATGCGAACGAACAAGCTGTTCAATAGACACAGGATGACCCTTGATGCCAAGACTTGGTCAGTCCAACCTCCGCTGCGCCGCTCCCCTCTCGTTTTCCGAAACGGCCAAGGCTCAAAATAGCGGAGCAGCTTTAAGGAGCACACGACCGGCAGAAAAAAGAGCAAGATCACCTGGCAGATGCTCCGAGCACCAGAGCACTGAAAGACAGATGGACCGACCCGAGGACGGTCTGACTGGCGGCGGCGGCCGCGGCCAGTGCGGCCGACGGTTCGGGAGGTGTCTGGAGGTGCCGAGCCTGTTCGGTTCGTCAAGCGAGTTACGGCGGCCAATCAGGTGGAGCCCCTGATACATGCATCAAAAGCTTTACAAACCTGGTCCTCAAAAAAGGTCCACAAGAACGGTAGAGATCATTGAACTTTTGCTATCATTGTCATCAGGGTGTGTTGAATCAAAACCCTGTAGCTGTAAGGAAAGGGTGGATGATCAAGAGGCATTTAAGTTGTTCCGGTCTCTCTATGGGATACCTTCCACTGTATACATAGAGAAAACCCTTCTACGCCCGGGAAAAGGCCCACATGGAACCTGAAAACAGTTGGTACATAAGTTGTTGGAAATCGTATGAAATTTCTCATCCAGTCTATTCCAGTCCGGTCCATGCCATCAGGTTGCATGGTGAGTCTCTTCCCTGGCCTTCCATGCCAGGTCTTCCACCGTGTTGCCCTTAATGGGACCGTATACAGTGGTTTCAGAGGTTCGATGGCACAAATAACCCCTACATGTCATTTAGATGGGGGTCTATATAAACCACCAACATTGGGGGATTGTGCCATCTACTCTGGAAACCACTATATATTATACATATATATATATATCATATAGTTTCTGAACCCTTTTTGTCCCCACCTGCCCGACACCACGCCTTACACTTCCTGAAGTCATCATGGTTTCGTGGACGGCATCACCCCCATGAAATTCTAAGACCAAACAGGTTGCCACTTCCATGGATGATTTTAGGAAGCCTTGCCCCTACAGTAGGACTCCAACTATCATTATAATTCTATATTCAGTGTTCTTGCCGAACAACCAGCGTCATCGTTTTGCTACTTAAGATATTGGACCCCTCAAAAAATACAGACATCCAACCAAATACCAGGTCCATCCAGGTCCATTATGTTTGAACCCTCCTGTCGGGGTGTCTATTTATAGCCCCTTAGCTGTGATTCGGGGCTATGTTTAAAATGGCCCCAACAACCGCGATCCTCGGTCATCCCCTTTTCCTGTCACGGGTAGACGCCTCGGCCGCCGAGGAGTATGGGTGTAAGACCACGGAGATGCGCAAGGGCAGCGCCAGGGCGGCCAGGAAGTCCATCCAATTGAAAGGATCCTGAAGGTGGACCTTGACACCACGGTAGAGCGCGCTGACGCGTGTCGAAAGGTGTCGAACGATGTCTTTTTTTCCAGGATTGAGCCAAAAGAAGGGGAGGTTGGTGACTTGGTGAGGTTGGGAACTCGGATTTGGGGGGGAGTGTGTATAGTAACTATATAGCGCTTTTGGAGCTCGAATTGGGTCAAAGCCAGGGTCATTCCAAGAAGCAGGTTTGGTTTCACGGGAAAAAACGGTCCCAACGACTCAGTGCAAGAACACCAAATTCAGTGCAAACCTTCCACTCTCTCGGTCAGAACCCGTGAAGAAAAGAAAACACCACGCTCCCACCCCTTGGCAAGGACTCCCGCCTGGCACCGGCGAAACCATGGTTCAGTGAGCTGCCGTCTGGGCAAAACAAACCCGCTGGGAGGACCATCTGCCGATCGAGGTCCCGCAGGGGGCCCCTTGGACCCGAACCAAACCTTCACCAGTCCGGTGAGGGTCCTTGATTCGGGAAGGAACCTGGACAAAAATAGGCAAAAACATCACGCAGAAGGGGAGTAGTAGGGAACAAACAAACCAGGCTTTTCGGGAACTGGAGGCCCCAACCCAAGCTTTTCGCCTCCGAGGTGCCATCTTGCGTGGGGCGGCGACCAGGCGCACGAGGAACTCAAGGCAGAAGACCAAGTCACAAGTGCTACCCAGGTAGTTCAACGTCTGACTCCACAGAGGCCCCTCCACGCTCTGAAGAAAAGCCACGACCCTGAGGAGCTACACGAAATCAAGTGGGCTGGGCCGAGTGTTGAGCTGAAGGAACGCCAGAAGTCACAAGGCAGCCGCCAAATGTTTGTGAGCATTCCGTGGATGGAACACATTCCAGCGTTGCTATATATTTTTTAGTTCATTTAGAACCTCTTCTTGGGCAGAAATGTCTGCCTATTGTGGGTAAAGGTTGGGTAGGTGCCTTTGTCCGTGCTTAGGCGTTCTTGTCCTTTGGTGGCAGTGAAAGTACAGTAGATAAGGATTCACCGACGTACTGGTTCCAGCAACTTCCAAAGTGATGAAGTACATGTGTTAATGAGGAATTCATGCAATTTACTTGATGTATCTTGATGTTTTACTTTTGTGACTTTTGTGCGTGCGTGTGTGTCTTTAGTGTTTCTATCACTATGCTGTGCTGTCCTTGTGTCATTGCCTTGACATATATATATATTTTTTTTTACGTATGTGTTCTTCCCGTCACTTGCGTTCTTACACGTTACCTAGGCGTTCAAAAACCGTTCCCACGACAATCCGCAGTTGCTTTTTGAGGGGAGTGAGTGACATGAGATGACCTTGTCGTGTCCATTACTTCAAGACCGAGGTCGGCGTCAACGAAAGGCGTCAGCGAACGGCGTCAGCGCGAACTGGTCTGGTTGGTGGCTTCAATCATCCCCAAGTAAAGGCTGACAAAACAAACATAATGTGTATATATATATATATATGAAACCAACACCCAGTTCTGTTCTCAAAAGTGTGTTCATTCAAATTCTGCTTCTGCCTCTTGCGAGCGAATGCATGTGATTGTGCCCCCTCGGGTTAAACTGGGACCCAGTGCAGCTTGTGCTGCTGCTGCTGTTGCTGCTGCTTGCAGCGTTTCTTTTCTGAAAACGGGCTGAACAGTTTTGCCGAAATGAAGTTGGGCGGAGAAACGTCGAAGATGCCCTCTGCATTGACTCCCTCAATGTCTCTTGAACAAATGGGTTAACCATGGGTTATTATAACTTGTTTTCCATCTCTTCCGACCTCTCCAGCTATCTCATGATGGCATCACTATCGAGACTCATGACGGAGAGTTCGATGCTTCGAGGGATGGCACCACACCCCCCCGAGCTGGACAGCTGGACTTAGCTCCCGAAACGGATCCCTTGGAGGACATGGGGCCCCTTAGTTTGGGATCTGGATGACCAAAAACACATGAAGCACTAGACTACCCACTAGCATCTGGAGGCTAGTGGAAAACATCCACATGTTCGACCTATGCATGCGGCACGCGCGCGGCACGCCAGCAATTCAGCTGTTCTGCTTGTGCTAAGCCGAGAGGCATGTTGATGCAAACCAGTACCTTGGATAGGTCAATGAAGTTCTCTATGAGCATCTCAGGACCCGCTACAGTCGGGGTGGTTGATGGGTTTATGGACAGCCTTTTAATCCTCTTTCTTTGGACAGCCTTGATAGAAACCCAAACAGCTCCGGGGCGGTCTGTTCAGGATCCCAAGAAAAACTAGAAGGTCTGGTCCGGAGCATCTGCAAATGTTGAGGAACACCAACCGACCAGGACAACAAGCCCGTCTTCGTACCGGTGACCCCCCATGGGACCGCCCGTATACATGGGGCTCCACAGGAGGAGCTTTTACACGGGGATGATGATGAGGATGATGATGATGGAGGATGAGGATGAGGATGAGGATGATGATGATGATCTATGGAATCAATATGAATCAATCTTGCTATGGGCCACCAACCATGAAATCAAAAGGAGAGAGACTCCGGGGTTTTTTGTGCAGGAGAGTCACCCTGGAACATTCACTTGAGCTCAAGGTTGGACCTTCAGAGGTCTAACCAGCTGCCTCAAGACTTCTTGCACCCACACCACGCCCACCACACCCCACACATGAATCCATCCAAGGTGCCTTCAAGCAAATGGAGAGCCACCAGGCAGCCTTCGAAGAGTCCGGATCATCCACAAGCTCCCAGAGAGATGCACAACGTCCACGGTAGACGAGCCGCATGATGGGCCGTGTCTCTTCATCTGGCTTTTCCAACCTGGCCCCGTTGGAACATCCACGACCGACCTGATGGTAGAGCTGTGTCCTGGCGACCTTTCGCTTCCTGTCTGGTCCTGTCTGGTGACCTAGGGTTGTCCAGCCAGGTCACCCCGAACGGAAGAAGCGAAGCAGCTGGTATAACCCATGTTCACTCTCTCTTGATCTCGCTATCTCTGCCTCTTTCTCTCTCCCTCTCCGTCGCCTTCTGATCAAAATCAAATCTGCCCCATCTAGGTTGGGAGGCAAGAAAAGAGGCCAAGCAGGTTCGCTTGGCGCTGCTTGCTAATTGCCCTTCTGAACCCTTCTCACTTTTCTATCTAAGCGTTGACTCCAAGTGCCACCTCGGTAGAGACCCTGGTCTTGCTCACTGGTCTATCTCTTCACGACTGGGAACGGCTGGTAACCCTTGCTCCCAGTGCGGTGGATGATGTATTCACTTGACAGAAAAAGCTTCAGAGCGACACACACGAAGAGACACCACCCTAAACGTAATGTAGACCCTTGACTAACAACCCCCCCAATTGAATTGAACAACCTCTTCATATACATGAGGTGGTTTGTGAAACCCGGAGTCTACATTGGTGGCACCCACATCGTGCTTCGATGCGTCTTCTTTTCATTCTCATCCCGATCCGACCCGAAGGAAGGCGATCCAACGAGCCAGCCTCATCTCCCGCGCATGGATCTGCCAGGCGATCTTCAAATCCACACCACGCACCGGCCGGAACAAGCGCCGTGGCTTCTCCTCCTGTGAGGCATGGCCCGGCCGTGACGGACGACGGACCATGGCGGTCTGTGAGGGCCAAGTGGATTGAGACGTGTTTGACACAGACATGCGGCAAAGCGTCATGTCAAGATGAACTGAATATTGATCGACTCTTGAGTGCACTTAAAACTGTCAAAGTGACAAAGTGAGAAAAAGGGTGTTCCCACAGAGCATTTTTTTCATGTTATACCGTTACTGAGCTGGTTGAGTTCCACAGAATCTCTAGCGAATGAAGGATCCAGAGGTGGTGATATTGCTCTTTACAATCCATATGCAGCAACATGCAACATTATTGAAAATCATCCCACATCCAAGATCAGTCCCCAAATCACTGACCCTTCCACCCTCCAAGCTCCCCCTGACTTAGATTTGGAGCTGCCCAGGAACCTGGACAAAATACCCCAGAAGGAGATTCAATCATATACCCAGTACATTTTAGTTAAGTACTTGTACTATATAAGGAACCGGGGTTTCTAGGTCTATGGTTGTGGTCTGTTACTGGATGCCCTTGGCAGCCGCAAAACCACTGTAGATGGGCGCCTTTCGAACCTCCAAAGCCTCGGCGTGTGGCAGCCCGCTGGGCCGCTGGTCCCGGAAGCTGACCATCTCCTGAGCTGGGAGGATGCCTTTGTGGGTCCAAAATACCGGCGCGTTCAGGAATCTTCAGGGAGCTTCCAAACCTACTAGAGATGGCCTCCAACCAGCAATGGCCTCCAACCTACTAGAGATGGCCAAATCTGGGTGAAAGGAAAGGGCTTCGGCTACTCACTCGGCACGGTCGGGCACCTGAAGCAACCGGTCTTGGACCTCCGGATGGGATGGTCAGGGTCTTTCTCCCCCTTCCTCTGTGGGGGGAAGGGCCAGACTCTAACTAGCAGCTAGCAAATGGTTGCTCCCTCCTGTGCAGCTAGCTAGCTGAATCCTAGATTTGGCTCAATCCTCATATGTTCACGACAAGAATGAGGACAAAATGCTCAATGGCCCATGTTCTATAAAACTAATTCATGTCTGACTTAAAAACGCCTGCGTGCGAAGGATTTGACCAAACGGCCCCAGACCATATCCAACAATGGCTGTCCACTGTCGTCCAGTGCCTAGTAGCTCGGCCTTTGGAGCAACAATATAAATGACTCATGATGGCCGTCTCGCAATATCCCAAACACGACCTGCCTGGGACTGCCGTCTCGGACTGCCGACCCAGAGGCCGACCCTCCTCACACCACCCCAACTGGATCGGCAAAGATGGTAGTTCCATGGAGTGTCCTGACCTTCGTCGGGTAACCACGCAAGGCCACCCAGGGCCGAGCATCATTGCGGAGTGATGCCACCTGCAGGAGAGCTTTCATGCTGTCAAGAGCCCCAGAACTTCAACATAGTTCAACTAGCAAAACGGTTGGGGAACTCCCCTCAAGAGCCTCCTGGCTCCCTGTTGGATGGGGAATAGGATGGTGTTTCCAGGGAGATTTCCCCGGTTCCTGGTCAGCTTGGCTGCCTGAGCAACAGCTAGTCAACCTAGCTCAACCAGCAAGTGCTCGGTCGGGAACTCCCCTCCCGTGGTGGCTGGTTTGTAGGATCCGACCAGCGCTCTGCGACGCTGTCTTCACTCTGACCCGGGGAATTCACACCTTCCCACTCACCTTAGGCCCTGGCTTCCTGGACCGATTTCACAGCCAGAAGCCCTTCCTCATTCCTCAAGCTGCGTGATCCCAGTTAGGTCGTTGGCCAAACCAACTCTCCAAGAACAATGCCTCCTTAAAAAGGACTCCGAACGAAGGTGGTCATGAAGGTGTTAAGCACATTGCTGATCCCAACGCCCCCGACCCACCGAGGAGTTCCCGGAGCTGCGGACGCACCGACCGACTTCGCCGCTGCGTCCGCCGCCTCGGACCAGGTGGAGTGTCGAGACGGCCGCCCCTCGCGCCACGCCTGGGCGGTTGATGTTCCCTTCATGAACGAAAAGGCTTTTGATGGGTATGATGATGGGTTACCACATGACTTAGACATCTTAGATACGATAACCAAAAAAAACATAATAGATCTTAGATAAATCGTATAAAGATATCTTATAACGGAATTATAACATAATAATACAAATATAATATAAGCATATATAGCTACCTTTTTTGCTGTGCTTGGGGTGTCCTGCGGGCTACGTGAGTGAACAATCTGAAAATAGCTGAACCCCGAACGACAACGAATCTCTCATGAAACAAGGCCATGTTCCATTACTCTATGCCTTTTCGTCTCAGATCAAGACTCACCCACCAGCCTCTTATAAGAAACAACTTCTGCCTTATGACTTATGCAAAATCCTGCACATTCCCCAAAATGGATGGCCGGTTTCTGGGTCTTCAGCTTGGTTTCTGGGTTTCTTGGGGCTGATGCTTCTTGCCTCATCCCACCGCGCGATGCCCAAACACCCCGGCGCACACGCTGATCGCCCGTGCCGCTTCACGCCTCCCGACGCAGATCGCCCTCGCTGGCGGGGCGGAACCTCGGGTGGTCTGCGTCAGGTGATATTACCAGGGAGTCAGGGGGGGGCACCCAGTCCCCTAGAACACCCAGTCCCAAAGTACTATAGGTGTCGGGAGTCCCAGTGGTTCCGAAGGCTGAAACCATAGGGAGGGCACCCAGTCCCAAACCAGAGCTGCTGGGAGTCCCAGTCCCAAAGACTGACCACCAGTTCGACCGGTTCCGAGGGCCCCTGGTTCCTTACTACTATAGTGGTTTGCCTGGGATCCACTGGGATGTGATATGGATCTTCCAGACACGACCCGTCTGGGACTGCCATATTATGACGCCCGAGACCAGGCAAGGCCAGGGCCAGGGGTTTTTCATTGCGGGGTCAATGGGTTGGCATACTGGTCGGCATCGATGGCAGTCCCAGACGGGTCGTGTCTGGGATGTGGATCAGGGTTTTGCTGAAGATGACCATCTGCAAATTGACCACCTCATAAAGGGTCCGGGTAAATGAAAGTTCAACCGCCAGGACCTTCTCAGTGACCTCTTCAGGATTGGTAGATTCAAGGCCGTTTCGTGACCTCAGCCACTGGGATCTCAAAAGGTCACTGGGAAGGTCCTGGCGGCTGGCTTTGTAAACAAAGGTTTCCTCAAACTCAACGGCCCGTGCTACGAAATCCTCCAACAAGGAGGTATATATCGGAATGCTACGATGAGGTGCCAGAGATCGATCTGCATCTCTACTGCGGGAGAGAAAAAAGACTTCAGGGAAGCCCACGCCACCAGGGCACAGTTGCGGCAGGATGGAGGCTCCCTTGGGAGGACATTGTAGTCCCGAGAAGGGCCTCGAAAGACGGCTGGTGACCGAACACGCGGGACAAGTGTGGAACAATGTGGAACAATGTGGAACAAGCGTGACTGGCTGGTGGTGTCAAATGTTTTGAACGAAGTAATTAGTTCCTAAATGTTACTGTTACTAATTGTTAGTCAGTGGGTTCAATAATCCCAGGTAAGGGTTGACCGTGAACATCTCTGAAAGCAGCACCCAGATGAAAGCGCGCATCCGCCCATATCTGAGGTGTGCCTTGGGACATGTTGGTCCTTGAGGCTGAGGATCTCGAACAAGCATGCATCCACCTGGGGATGGGCAGATAGAGGGCGGATCGTGACTGATTCAAGGGGACGTGAGTCTTTTAGGGTCACCGGGTCACCAAACGGAAAGGGCGACCCTGGTGCACCAAGTGAATTGACTAGGCTACACAGTTCGTTTGAGAGGAATAGAGGGGCCGGTTCCTCGTACCATTTATCTATTGAATCTATTGGTTGTACACGACCCCGGGGGTATCCCCTCTAATTATGAATCGACCAATGGTAAAAGGTAATCTATGCAAACCTGGTGGGCCAGGGTTCGAGGTTGATTCCCACCCCTTGATTGATGGGCCCATGCTTACCGACTTCTGATCCTACTAAGGCGGTGTCGCTCGTGCTTTCCGCTCAAATCTAGGCCTTCCAGCAGAGCTTGATGGATTGATTCATAATCCCTTTGCCTGTACACACAATACCTGTTACGATATGACTTTTCTGTTGGGGTGTATCTCAGACTGGGTGGCCCAAAGAGGGAACTCCAGGAATAGCCTCCACAAAGGGAACACCAAGAGTTAACAGGTTAACATGAGTTAAGTAGACATCTGAAGACTGGATGTCCTTCATCTTCAAAGATGTTCTTCCACCAAACCAAACCTCAGCAGCATTCAGCAGCATTCAGCGCGCCTGGTTGGCAACTTGATCTAACCGCGCTTCCAGGCCCGAGAAGAGCTGGGCAATGGATTCGCTAAGAGCTGCCCCATCCTGCTGCAATGATGCTCCCAAAGGAGGATCCACTCAGGATGCAGTTCAAGAGTGAAACACCCCCCAAGCATGGAATGGTTTTACAATCCGTATGGGATATAACTTATAGCTATTAGATAAATGTTTATTTGCTTATCATTGCTTATCTACATCTATCAAAGAGTCCCACTTGACACTATCCCTGTGAGTTCTCTCTCTCGCCTGACGTCGAAATCTGCCCCAGCGAAGAATGTTTGAGGCAAAGGTTTTCCATCTTCATCGATACACCCGGAAGAATCATGGAAGTGGAAAACCATCGGAAATTCATGGAAAACCACCCCTGTTCATACAGGTGGTCAAGGTCTTCCAAAAACCATGCCCGCCACGTAACCATAAACATTCCAGGAAGTGTCAATTTGTATCACATTTAGCCACTAATTAGAGCAGTGCCAACTGAGCACGACACGGCAAAAGCTCCTCCGCTGAAGACATCGTCGGGCGCGGAGGCGGCGCGGGTTGTAGCGTCTGTTTGAGCCCAAAGTGGTGTGACGACACAAGGGAAGCTGTCCTTCAAAGTAGCGATTTACCCGTAAATATCTGTTAAATGGATCGGTTCTAAAGTAAATGGGTCGGTGACGGTGGGATTTAGCATATTACCAAGTGTCTTGGAAGTAGCAATTGCACCACCCATCGAACTTGGGGATTTACAGATCCGTGGCGCACTGTATCCGCAGATCCGCGGCGCATGGACTGACAGTCTCACCCCACCATGCGCCACCTGCCAACACCCCGAAACCTCGCATCCGCGCGTGAGAGAAGCATCGCGCGGGTGGCACCCTGAAGGGTGGCTGACATGATGATCAACTTGAAATCCGCCAACTTGTGCTGGATGCTGGCCGATGCTGGGACTATGCTGGCGCGTGTGAGATTTCTCAAGACCCCTCACGTGAATGCGTGCGATGCAAAATGTAATGGTTGGCACTTCCTGATCGGGAGTCAGGGGAGCCAGTCACAGTAACACATGACCACTTGCGGACCTCAATCTGAACGCTCCCCCATGCACTGTCCAGGGGGCAAAACGGTAGCTACCGGGTGGGCGACCCACGGGTTCCAGGTGGGCGACCCATGCCGCACCTGACTGCCAACACCGGTTCACCGTACTGTCCGTGGGTTGACCCCTTACTTCCCCCCGTGGATCCACGTACCTCCATGGGTAGGAACTCGTGCCCAGTACCGAAGCAAACGGTGCGATTGGACCGTCGAGACGGTTGGACCCGTAGCTCCGGGTCACGACCGCCCAAACGATGCCAGGGAGAACTGGAGCTTCAGCACGAGCGAGAGCAGGTCGGCATCCACGGATCGTTCATGCGCCTGGACAGCCAGGCCAAGTAAGGCCAGGTCAAGACGGCCACATGATGTAGGTCTGAGTCATACGACCCCCCGCGAGGCTGGGAGTCAACTAACTTCTTCATATGGGGGAGTTATTGGTCTTGATGAATATAAGCTTCCCCTAATTGAATTGGAATTCCTGTTCATAATGGGGGTCTATATTAATCAAGATCCTATACAGTAGGTCGGACCATGAGTGGAAAGACGATCAGTTCCACTTTGGCAAACGCGAGATAGGTCGCTTCGAGTGACCCGGCTCCCGGTCACTCGAACTGGATACGTCGCAGGGTCGCGCTTCAGCAGCAGCAGCGTTTCTTCATGTGGGAGTGGTGCTTTAGACCCCAAGTGAGATCTACTAACAAAGGTCAAAAGATGTCAAAAGGCCTTAGAGGATCATTTGTCCTCAAACATGGTGTTGGAGGACGTGTCCTATAGAAGTAGGACGACGTAAACTCCTACTGACCTCCCAAGGCCCAAGGTGAGTAGATGAAGCACGCCTGCACCTGATGGAATAGATTGACAGGTCCGCCGGTCCGCCTCACTAACCATCACCGCCCAGGTGATGAACATCTGCGAACGCCATCCATGGAGGTACCGCCGTCTGCCTACTAATAGTACTCGATTTTGTGCCATCCAATAGGTTTGTAGAACTTGAAAGGTCTGTAGATGTTTTGATTGATTTAAGACCATATGTTAAATTAACTACAGAACTTTCAAGGTCTTAGACTGCAGACCTATTGCAGTCTAAGATTAAAATATGGTCTTTCCCGGACACCAGGGCATTCCAAAGCAGGTCACAGTGTCACAGTCAGTCAAGCAATCGCATCTTAAACACTCAAACGCCTAAGTACGTGGTGTCAGAGTAGATGGCGCTATCCCCAAATTCGGTGGTGCCATCGAACCTTCCTGAAACCACTGCACAATCCTGCATCAATTCCGAATCAAATCCCTTGACTGCAAGCATTCCGCCCAGTAAAAAAACATGCAGCTCTCTATTTTTTTCCACCAGCAGCTCGGCTGCCCCTGCAGCTCCTCTCACAGGAATCCCAGCCTCGGACGACTGAAGGACAGCACAACGAGTATATACCAGCAGTCACGGACTCGACGGGGTAGGAGTTGGGTGTCTATGATCCACTCCACGGCCCCTGGATGGGATTGAACACCACACCACCCCTTCTTCGAACGTGACCTTTGGAATACTCCTGGTACTGAAAGTTGAAAGAAACCTTTCATGCAATCCCAACATCATGCCTTTTCCTGCTTATCTTGTCAAGATAAGCAGGAAAAGGCATGATGTTGGGATTGTATGAAAGGTTTCTTTCAACTTGAAAAGCTTGGACCTACAGCATCCAAATGATCCAACTCTTCGACCGATGCTTAACGCGATGCTTCTCTCCCAAGCTGCACATCATCCCAGCAATCTTCGACCGCTCCACGGCTTAAGGCAGCGGCCTTAAGAAAAAGCGTCTTAACTGTAGCTGAAGTCTTTGAACAGACTGAAGAGCCTTCATGCACGAAAAAGGCTTAAGAGTCTTTGAACATACATGAAAAAGAGCCTTCATGCACGAAGTCTTTGACTGGGCTGACCCCTGTGGCAATGACTTTCTCCTCTGCTACCGGGGATCGTGCCTGCCGCTCGTTGGTTGAACAGCTGGTTGTGGTTGATATGTTGTTGGTTGTAGGCATCAATTATGTGAGAATGGAAGCCCCAGGGCATCCAGTTACCACTATAGCCTATAGCTGGTAACCAGTGGTTCCAAAGACTAAAGCTGTAGACCTAGAATCCCTGGTTCGCTGGGATCCACTGGAAGCATGTTCAGAAAGGATTGTGACTCGTGACGCAACAGAGTGGTTGAACTTTGGAGTTCTTCCCGCGTTTCATGGAGCTATCCACGATGGTTGGTCAACACTGCGACCAAGAAGAACTGCCAGGTGACAATCGTTTTCGGAAGGGGCAAACGAGGTCATTATAGCCAAAGCGCTTGGTCCTTCTTGAGGTACTCTTCCAGATCCGTCGCCTCAAAATCGGCAGGGACAAGCAATCCTGAGGGCCTGCAGGCCTCTCTTCAGCAACTTCGATGGTTCTTACATCTTCCCATCTAGCTTCAACTCCGCCAATTCGTCTTTTTTTCAGTGGTGCTGGCATGTGCCATATTGAAGACTGTGGAAACGAACGGCCTGGGTGCTCACGGTCACATACTCCAGTGCCACTCCACGCTTCTCGGCCTCAAGGGAAATGGAAGCCTGATCATTTTTGGGGTTCCTGGGCGCTACAAAGCTGGACTCGTCTGTAATATATATATATATATTATATATACCCTAGGGCTCCAAGACCTCCTCAGGTTCGGTGTTTGGACCCGAACATGGCACCCACCCCAGTCCCAGGTACGACTGGAGCCCTAGGGATATATATATATATATATAATCGGAATCCACTGCACATCTCGGACATGAAAAGAACCAAAGCTTCCAGCTTGAGCCACTCAGTAGACTTTTGGGTGGAGAAGAGGCACTGCCAACTCTCCAAGCCCCAGAGCAAAACCACCCCACGTGTTAAATTCATCTGGTTGGTGGTTTCAACTCCCTTACAAAAATAGATTAGTATGAATTAGTCAGTAGGTTTCCCAGGTAAAGGTTTAAAGTCGAACTGTCCGAAACTGTGAAAAAAACAACTCACCATGTCCCTTAATGGGCATCTCGCCTGGCCATCCCACTCCAGAAGAGAACAAGAACACACAAATCTTTACACCACCACAACTGCTCGCTCCAACGCTCCGCGCACCTCCTGCGCCGCCTTCTCGCTGTTCAAATCCTCCGAGAGGACCTTCAGGATGAAGGGCGTGGACGTCAAGTTCGGCTGCGGCTCATGGGTCACAAAGGCGATCCACAACACTCGCACCTACGGAGACACCGGAGGATCGGATCGGATGCGGTCGGGAAGTTCGGGTTCACTTTCCGTCTCTGTTGGGTGTTTTGCACCTCGTGTTTTTTCGAGGACGAGGATGGATTCGGAAGGCCGGAGCCCGACCAAAGCACCGAAACGGCCGAACTGGTTGTTTTTTGGGTCCGTGGTGACTGGCCGAGTCGAAGAGACATATTCATGTTGACTGAAATTCACCCAAAGAGGGCTTTGGCCTCCAAGACCTCTTTGTTGCGCCACGGACGACCTGGTGGAAGGAACTTTCCCATCAGCATGCCGCCAGGATGCTGATTCCCTCTCATTCGCCGGGATGCTGATTCCCACAGGGGGATGGCCAAGAAACAATGGCGCCTTATTACTCTCTATTACAAATACATACTTACGCTTTGGGTCTATCCTAATAATTACCTGTAACAGTGGATGATGATGGTTAGTAAAGGCCTTGTTCAAAAATAGTAATAATTGTTTACTGACTGCTACAGGTAAGAACGGACAGACCCTACTTATGCTATTGAACGGGTGCACACATCATCCAACAGAATCCTCCCGCAGGCAGAAAAGGTGCGGAATTGGAGTTCTATCCTATTTCCAGGTTTCAGTGGATGATGATGGTTCAGTTGCAGGCCTTTCCATTTCTAAATATCGTGATGTTCGGACGGCTCCTGGTAGGAACATCCAACTGAAACTGGGATTGTGCTTTCTTCTTGCGCTTCTTGGCACTAGGCATCCACGAATCCCATGCCTATCTTACCCTTTCTGGCCGCTGGCTGAGTCTGACTGAACCGCGACGGATTCCAATCAGAAGGGCCAAACATGCTCCAACTGAACCATCCCTAGGGCTCCAACTACCTCCCGAGGTTCGGTGGTTGGGTGTAGACCCGCACATCCGGACTCCGGAGCTGGAGATGTCTTGAACGCTCGGAGTCCGTGACGTTTCTGGTTTTGAGTGGGGGGCCACATGCGTCGCCCATGAAGCGTCCATGAAGCGGTTTTTCAGGTGGTCCACCCCCAGGCTGGGTAAGAGAAAAGTTCCAGAAAGAACATGGATAGGACCATGATGGACCCATGAAGCAAATGCCATGCAATGCAAAGGCACCTGCCCGTCAGAGCCCAGAACTAGCACAAACCTGAGCCGCGTCTGAGCTGTGCGTGCGGGAAGAGGTTTTCTGATGCTCCGCCATGTCGCACCTTTGAGTCAGACTTGAATGATCCTGAAGGTATATTGTAGGTGCAGTGGTTGGATCATGGGTCCAACACACCGAAAACATCAAAGACATTCATGACAAACTGCACTGGGACCATGGACCAAATTTCAAGTGGCCATGTTCCTCTCGCACAGTTTGAGGAAGCCGGTCGCATGGCTGATAGACCCCAAATCCCAGGTGTCTTCCATCACCATCCGATCAACAGCTGAAATCCTTCAAAAAAACGTATCACCATCGATCGCCTCTCCCACAACCTGCTACCGGTGCTGGCAGTGGCTTCGGGTCGGACCGTGCTGCTTTTTCCACTGATATGTGCACGTCGAATACAAGTGAACAGCTCTCATGACCTCGGTTAAGAGGAGCAAGAAGGGTGTTGCGGTCAGGCCATGTATCTCCCTAAGGATCCGCATCCTCAAAAACAAGGGTTTGGTTCGGGTACAAACCCTTGTTATAGAGGGCTCGACCCCCTGCCATGGAGGGTCCGTTCGGATTCTTAAGTGCTGGTCCAAATGCCTTCTGAAAAGATGCAATACCATGCAATGATTCTGCAACGTTCCTACAGCCAAAAGAGAAAAATCGTTCCACCTCCAAAAAAAGAACACAAAAGGTCCGGTCCAAGACTCCTCTTCTCTTCTCTTCAGAAGACCTCGTAGATGAGCTCGCGGAGGGCCAACAAGGTGCTGATGACCACACCCAAGGAGACAATCCCTGAGATGAAGGACTTCCGGGTGCTCAACTGGTCCTGGACGCAGCTGGTCGGCTCGGCTCGGACGACTTGACTCAGGGCCGGTGGACGACTTGACTCAACCCCCTTCCCCCATAAGGAGCCCTCATGATCTAAGTACCGAACCTCAGGTACGGTGAGGACGGAGACACTGTGATGTAGGTTTGGAGGGTCCAAGATGGTCCAAGTACCTTCTGAGAAGATACGACGGGATTTTCGTAGGGGAGAACTATCCTGGTGGGGGAGGGTCTGAGGGTCGTTTCGACAGTCACCATTACAACGCACCAGTACTGACTGGCGACGCTCAACTGACACCACGTTTCATGCTTCTGCTTCTGCTTCTGCTGACGCAGCTTGCCCCATGGGATCCGCCATCCGCTGTTCCGGTTGTTGATCTCCCAGATTTGTCATGCTGTAGACGAGGCTAAGCGACTGAATGGTTTTGTTTGTCTGCATGGGTTCGGTTTTGCAATGTTTTGCTTCCCTTCTGCTCGCTCCCATCGCTGAGAGCTACAGGGACAGGCAAACCATGAGGCGACAAATCTACCTGTGCCAGGCTGCCAGGCTTCCGCTCGACCTCTCGACCTCTCGTGGTTTGAACGCCGCCCTGGGACAAGACCCAGTTCACGGTCCTGTAGGTAGTGCACGGTCGAGGTGCCTGCATAGGACGAGACCCAGTTCACCAAGCCATACAAGAGCATCAAGGACATGATGATGCGATCCGTCAACAAGTATCTCAGGCGGTCGGCCGTCCCGTCCGCCGAGTCGAGGGCCACGGCAGATCGAGGGCCACGGTCGTGGCGTTTGAGGATGTTTGAGGGTCCGGTCGGTCTCGATGTTCGACGAGCCTGGGTCTTATGTGACGTCTACTGTTGAGCTCGTTTGAGTGCTAGATCAGATCCCAACATGATGAGCTCCACCTCCGACAGACCTCCGACAGACCAACCGCCTCGTGGTAAGTCCACGACCTGCATACAATGTCTGGGAAGTGGCCCTCATTCCCTGCTTCTTCAGTCCCAAACACTCCATGTACCCCCCCCACCACCACCACCGGACTGTCGAGCAGTCGAGCGGCTGGAAGGTGGTCGACGAGGAGGTGTAGATCACACAAGTGCTGGAGGTGGCGACCGCCACGGCAGGGTCCAAGCCCATGAGAAGGAAGTAAGGTGAGAAGATCAATCCTCCACCTAGACGAAAACTCGACGAAACACCAACAACATGAGAATCAACAGAATTCAAAAGACCGTTTCATTGCATATATAGGGCTTTTTCTCGTTGCATGTGGTCCAGGGATTTCTGTGGTGGCTTAGAATCAAAAGGAGTGAAACCCATTCATCTCCCAGGTGGGCTTGAGCCTTCTCACGTATGAACCTGATTCCTCAAGCTACGAAAAAGTTTCTCATGTGGCTCTGCCTGAATTCACGAGCCCATGACAACCCACGAACCCATACCTTCCACCGCTACGAACCCGACGGCATTCTGGTGGCTTGATGAATTCCCTAGGGCTCCAACCGTCTCCGTTTCGACGATGGTTGGGGTGGATGCCAGCGGGGGGGTCGAAGACCACCAGTCACCTGAGGAGTCCTGGGGCCTATGGATTGATGAATCTAATCCACATGACATGAACGTTTGGTAGGGCAGGGTCCATCTTGTCGATGTGCGGGGGAGGCCCCCCTGGTGCCCTGAACCGGCCCCCCTTCCGGCTGCCCACCCAAATCCTGGAACTTCCGAGCGGGGCGGAGATCATCGCGTCTCTAGGTGTCTATAGGCGTCTCAAAGACAATCCAAAACAGGGAGAGCAACTAAATCAACATGGTGTCCTACCTGTGACGTTCCAAAGATTTCCAAAGTATGAACCTCCCTCAGGACTCAGGGGTCACAGACAACCACCGAACATAGGCCAGTTCTCCACAAATCGAAGCTGGATGCCATGTAAGAAGAATGACATCCTGTGAAACCTGGATATCTCTGGATGCTTCAAAGAATTCATTCACCACTCCACAGAACAAGTCCATTCATATCCATTCCAAAGAACCAACTGAGATTAACTTCCCAACACCAAATATTTAAAAACACGAACTGCAAAGAACCCGGAGAAGAATAGAAGAACCGGAAACCCCTTGCGCCAGACTGAGTCGGAACACCGAGTTCCAAGTGCTCCTGAAAACCGGCTGAAGAAAAACAAACACACCCCAAAACCACCAACACCGGGGGGCCCCAACCGGTTCCGGTTTCCGTTCACCGCGGCACCGATGCCCACAAAGCCGGCGAGGCAGCCGGTGGTGACACTCATGAGTGAGAACCTCGGTGAAACCGGCGGTGGGGAACCAAAGGAACGATCTGTCACTCAAGACGGATTTGTTCGCTTTTATACGTCTCCGGAAAAAAAGGGGTCCGAAGCAATTCGTCTCCATATCCAGTCATGTCCGAGTTATACCTAATATAGGGCCTCTGTTTCTATATCTTTGTCAGATCTTCTTTCCATGTGGTTTTCCGTGTTCCCGGCCGCGAGTCGTGGCCGGAGGGAATGAGCGATGAAGGACCCCCCCCTTACCCCCTTAGGATCCAGATCTGACCAGTCGGATGTTGCACCGCACCAGGTCCTTGAGATCGCCCACACATGAGGAAATCACCCGAAGGTAGGTCACGAGATCAGGTCCCTCAGGTTCGGTGTTGACACCCTCCACATGGCACCCACCCCAGTCCCACCGTACCTCAGAAGGTACGACTGGAGGCCTAGGGGTCTAGAAAAAGTGACGAGGTGCAGGAAAGAATGTATAGAAGAGGTGCTCAAAGTAGCAACCTGGCAACCCATTGTTCCATTCCTATTCCCCCCGAACCGCTTGAGAGGTGCTTTTCATGCATGGTCCTTGAACGGAAGATCTCCCTCCTTGGCCGCAAACCAAGACACTTCAGAGTCAAAGCGGGAGACCAATTGGCCTTCACCAAGGTCGTTGCCACGCCCGCGAGGATGGTGATGCAAAAGATCAAGGGCCCAATGAAGAAGAACACCTGCAACAGCTTGCGATCTTGGGACGTGTTGGGACCTCTTTCCAACGTGGGTGGGCCATCAATCTGCGTCCGGGCCTCGGCTGCTGGGCCCAACGAGTTGGGGCGTGTGCTTGAACCGAAGATGTACAACCCTCGTGGACTACAACGTATGGTGATGGCTCGAACATCTTGGTACGTGGTATGATGTGGTATATACGGTATATGTATCACCCACATCCAACAGGATCGAACCACTGGATGCACCCGATCAAACCTAGCTGAAACCATCAAAGCACACCACTGTTTCGACACATGAAGCCCCTAGACTTCCAAGACCATTAAAACAATGGTTGACCTGGTTTTTGCAGTGTAAAATCCTTAGTTGATTCGGTAAAGCCTATTATAATATATATATATATATATTAACATAATTATACATAATTAACGCTTGTTGGAAGCCTAGGGAGTCACTCGGGGTCGGCCTTGATGAAGGCTGCAGTGCTGGGCGTCTGCATCCAATCACTCAAGGTGTCTCCGCTCAGCCTGCGGTGGTCCAAACGGTCGTACGCTCTCGCGTAGAAACGCACGAAACGCCGCTCGCTGGAAAGCATCATGCGGGTAAAACGGGTATCCCCCGGCCGCATTCGGTGAGCGCGGCATGAAAGCAAGAAGAGGAAACAAGAAGACAACGGCAACTCTCACTCAAAAGCATTATACATGTTTCTAGGGCTTGCCAAGTCACCAGAAAAGGCTGGGATGATGACATGCCTTCAGCCGCGTCTCCACATCCACAGCCTCCTGACACTTGAGGGCATGGTGACGAAAGGCGCTTCCACTGACCACTACCTGGGATTGGAGAGTCAACGGCTTTCGTCGCTTTCGGCGAGTGGTGGGTCACAGTGAATGACCTGCGGCTCGATCGACAGGTGCCTCGATGGCCTAAGTGACTAAGTGAAAGGGTCTGGATCGATGCTTTAGGACTTGGACATGGAAAAAACATGAAACAAATCATGGAATCCCGATGAACCCGCAAGAAATCACCAGCTATTCGATTCATTCTATTCAGTCTTGGGAATAAACACCTGGTCACACATCTGGAATTTTAAACCAGTAGCAAGGAGCAAGCCTCAAAAAGCATCTATATACCTATACCTATACCGTACTGAACTCATCATGGTTACGTGGATGGCAGGGCCCGAAGTGGCCCGACGGCCCGAAGGCCACAGTTGGCCCGTTTCACAAACAGTTCTTTCTCCGGACTCTCGCGCATCGGAGTTTTCAAGGGCCCCTTTTCAAGTTGGGCCTATGCACCCCCTATCTCAAAGGGTCTCTAATGGGCTCTGGTCAGGGTGTCCCTGGTCTATCGCAAATAGAACCCCCCTCCAGACATGGAGTGTAAAAGCTCTTCACAGTTCTAATATACCAGGACCATCCTGTCTGGGTCATCTGGCTGGACTACCCTCCACTACTTGGGGATCTCCAGACTGGACTACCCAGACAGGATGGTCCAGGTATATATATCTTTAGGGCTCCAGTCGTACCTCCTCAGGTTCGGTGTTTGGGCCCGAACATGGCACCCACCCCAGTCCCACCGAACCTCAGGTTCGGTACGACTGGAGCCCTAGGGATATGGAAGGTTTGCATGACTGGTCGAGGGTCGAGGGCGGCCCGGGGCCCTGAGACACAGCATTAAATAAGTGACGAGCGCATCACATGGTGACGTGGAACATGGTCCCGAAAGGAAAACGACTTTCCACCAACAGGGGGTGAACTCCACGGAACATGAGTCGGAGTGTAACACGTACGAAAAAAATCAGTCATCAGGCTATAAGCACGGCTAAGCTGCAAAAAGCATGACAAAGGACAGGAGAAGGTCGGTGGTTGTATATTCCTGCACTTCTTGTGACTTCCATACCGCCGTCACTTCTGGCACCTCTTTGGCATCACGGCCTTCGAAGTGGGACTTGGGTAACTGCGGTAGGCGTCGGATATGCTCTTCCTCTGCGTACTGCTGCCAGGTGGTTTGAAGGATCATGTAGGAGATTGCGATGAGGATGCCAACTAGAGCCAGCAATACCGCCCAACCCGGCACAATGGAGTTCAGAATCACACCGATATACGTTCCGACCAATGCCCCCGGCACCACCAATCGGCACACATTGTAATCGATCAAGGAATCCTTAGGAGAATTGCGGAACCATCGGAACCCAAACAAATAACACATATTCACCAGAAGGGGGATTTACCGGCATGATTTATCTTATCCATAGGGGAAAATATGGAAAAGTATATAAAATCACCTGATCAGCCCAACTCCAGGAGTCTCTGGTGGAGCTGGCCTTCCTCAGGTTCAGGAAGAGCGATGCAATCGATCCGATGAAGACCACCGACTTCGACAGCGGCACTGCATCTCGTACCCTTAGGCCACCCGCCACCATGAGCACCGTGACATAGATTCCACCACCACCAATGCCTCCAGCAGCACAAAGGACACCAGCGGCAGCCATGACCATGCAACAATTGAAGGCATCTGCACTTTGAATTTGTTGAGTGTCGAAGACCCAAAAGGGTCGAGCCGGACCAGCGTCGTTTTCATTCTCGGGAGGTTGCATGATGAGCTTTCCTTCTTCAAGCTCATGATTCTTGGGCTTCATAGCCGCACTGAGACATAGTAGAGCAAGGGCAGGGTACACCTTCCATATCCGCATCTTCGTGGTACGCTAGCGGAGCGCCCAAAGGAGATGGGCTGCTGAATTATCCTATCAGGACATGGCGCAGCTTGTGTTGAGCCTAGCGCCTCCGGTTTTCAGAAACAGCATGGCAGGGGAAGAACACAGATCGTTTTTCAGGTGTTTTTCAGGATTGTACCACCCTTTCCAGTCAAACCGAAGTGACTTTTCGGTGGCGTCTTCTGTTTCATCCAGCCACGGAATGGAAGAACCAATTCGGTTCAGGTGATCCACGGCTTCCCACTCAACCGAACTGATATGATTGGACCATCTCCGGTTGCACAAACACGAGTCGCGGTGGAGCGGACCGGTGCACTTGCTGTCTGTGTGTGTTGTCTTCTCTCCCGTTTTCAAAGCGTGTTTGTCTTGTGGCGGTGTAGCTCTTAGTGAACCTGCATGTCATGCTTCTATACCTTGAGGCCGGCGTCCTATCTGACATTCAGACAAGCAGCTTGCTCTGAGGAAAGAGAGGCGGAACCTGATGTTCAACAGGAGGTTCCCGCGGCGAAAGCCAAACATTCCACCCTAAGTATATCTAAGAATCCAGGCCCTCAAACACATAGGGTTTTGAGGGTCAGGACCCCTGCCATGGAGGGCCCGTACGGATTCTCAGGGCAAAGCCTATCCGGACTCCCGAGCCATATTTCTTGGAACGTGAAGGTCTCCCTGAAATTATGAAAGTGGATGGCATGGCCCCTTGGATGACCATTTTACTCTACAAACAGATGGTTTTCTACTTGAGGGAAAGGAGCCAATCCCCCAAAAAGGTTTAAGTCACTGACTGGGTAGGCATCCCTCTACAGGTGCTGTTGCCGCTGTTGATGTTTCTTGATGATGTCGCGGCTTGGCTGGGTGCTCGGTGGGGGTTCGGAGGAACAGCGGCCCAGTGATGGGGAACCACCTACTTCCGCCAGCCCCCACAGGGGGAGCCAACACAGTGGTGCACTGGCTTAGTTCGTGCTTCCCTGAACTATTCAGTATGCCTTGAAGTGGCAACACATTGCCCTGATCCCCAGATTTCAAGCACGGTTGTTGATATGTTATACTGTCGGGATACTATCAGTTTGGCTCTTTCCTCAAAAGCGCTCTGGTGGCATGCACAGAGTTGCTTTTATGCATTTCTCTGCGTTTCTGCATGCACAGGCAAGCACATCACTTCAGAATGATGTGATGGTTTGCTGGGTTTTGTTTCCTTCAGTCCTCTTTTTGGCTGCCCTTCCTGCAAACTGAGAAACAACTGATTCCCTGACCATGGGGCATATCCTGTGCTACGAGCTCAGGCCGATTTCCAGATCGCTTTTGTCTGCTTTTTAACTGGTGGGATGGGGGTTTGGAGCGCCATTCTGCTGGCTGTGCGTGTGCCTAGCTCCGGCAAAAGAACATCGAAAGTTGCAAAAAAAGTAAACCCTAGAGATCCAAGTACCTTCTCAGAAGGTGTTTGGGCTTCCCCCAAATCCGGGCTGACGGGCTGCCACTAAAATTGCCCCGACATGTGATATAGTAGATGTCGTCGCCACTCTTGCCGGGTTTGCAACTACCTGTCAGTCGGTTTGCTACATGGTGGACCTCCAGGTGGGTCACAAGCCATCTCCATAGAAAAAGAAAAGAAGGACTGACTCCAAAAGTCCAAGAACTATGTGAACTATTCGCTTGGCCAAATGCAAATCAACCTCCTCAGCACCCTAAGGTGCCAACAAATCACCCAATAAAAGGACCCGACGCGGCAGTTCTCCCAGAACTTTCCGGGCCACAAGAATGGAGGAGCCACATGCATTTCCACATGCTCTTCATCTCCTCAACTCCCCAGACCAACCGAGAAAAACGCCCGTGGGACCATCATCGCCAACGGCGGCACCTTGTGCTCCATCGCAAAGCGGAAGCCTTCGGTGGCCGCCACTAAGGCCACCACGCGCTCTGCCAATTGCAGCTGGCAGGTGCATTTCAGTTGTTTCAGCTGATCATTCAACCAAACCTCAGGGCTCAATGCTGCCATGGAGAATCTTGAACAGTTAGCTCCCTGCTCCCCTGTCCCGACAACATGTTGGCTCGATGGAGGGTTATGAGATGATCTTCGGGCCAGCAAGATGATCTCCGGTAGTAGGGTCCAACCCCCCGGCCCCCTGCTTCCATGCTAGCGATATCACCCTAAGAATCAAGGACCCTCAAAGGTGAAGGTTTGGTTCGGGTCCAAACCCCTGCGTTCTGCAGGGTCCAAACCCGCCATAGGAGGGTCCAATGATTCTTAGGGCCGGAACAAGTATCTCAAGTGGAGGGGAACCAACAAGCTGTGTTTTTCCCAGAACTTCTTCGACGAAACCCGTCCACTGCTTGCTGGCCAAAAGTAGCTACTGGTAAGTGCCGGACGCAGATCGCCCAAAGAAGATGGTCGTCCAAACTTGTCACAACCAGTTTGTAGGGACATAATTAGGCCCATGTGAGTGAGCCACGGCCAAAACCTAGCAAAAAGACACATCAAACAAATTCGTCTAGCTGGTACTGTTTCGACCGGTCATCCCAAATGGCTGGGGGCCTCCCACGCCGCGTGAAAAAGGTTCCCGCCGGTCATTCTGCGCAGTCAAGAGTCTTTGAGCCTTCGCCGGTGACCAACGGAGGAGCCGGCGAGGGTGGAGACTCCATGGGGTGGAGACTCCACGGTGGATGGAGACTCCAGTGGATGGCACCACGGTGGATGGCTAGGCTCATAGGTCTTCGGGTTTCATGGTCCTCCGGCCATGTCCCATCTACTTCCACCATGTATGCTTCCAGGGAGTCTAAATCCCCAACACTGCAGACACGGGGCCATGCCACCCACATTTCCATGGATAATTTGAGGGAGTACACCTGGACATGTAACAAACATGCCAGGACTTTCCAACACGTTGCCTCCAGAGCCGGAGAGCCTCTTTGGAGAGCCTCTTTCAGGTGCGCTGGAGCCAATAAACGGAAGATGGTCCTCTACAAATTGGGACGTCTCCACATTCCTCTTTCTTAGGTAACGGACAAAGCAGGAGAAAGAACACAAACACGAGCGGTTGCACTCCGTTGCATTCTCCATTTCGCTGTGGGTCAAAACCTCACCCTGCAAACCATGGGATCGGTTGACATCCCTTGAAGAGAAATAGTACATAATAGTACATTTTCAGGGGTCAACCAGGGTTACAGGGTTTTGACCCACACCCATTTGTCATCAGAGGGAGCAACCCGTGTCTTCAACATTCTTCAACCACCATCTGTGTTGCTGAGGGTGGTTTACAGGGTACTAGTTTTCAAAGAGTCGGAACTAAGCCAAGAAACGCCAACGAGAGGTTCTGCGTGCAATATGAAGCCAAAATACAAATCTTGCCAAGTCAGGTTCTGACATGAGTTGTGAGTCTGAAACCATATCATACCATCTTGTGCCTCCAGTATCACGCAAAACGTACAACACGTTATATGTTCTAAGGTCCCCATCATCGAATCTCCAAAGGCCCCATCATCCAACTGCCACTGCGACTCCAAGCTTCAACTCAAATCTCAAAAATACACCTCCGACGTCCCATCATTGGTGAAACTTACGAGTGATTACTTTGAACATCCTCGGATTCCTCCCACAGACTCCAGGCTGTTGGTCTATGCAGGGGCCATCCTCGCCAAAACCCACCCGTATCGTCAGAGTTGCCCTTCAGGAGGTGCCCTTCAATTGCAGTGGACAAAAGATCTTTCTGGCGCGCGAACCCGGAAAATGCTAAAGCATCTTCCCAGGAAAGAGATTCACCCAGTTCGGGAAGATAAATTTTGCCTATAAGCAAACAACAAAAACAGAAACCAGTGTGTGTGACTGTACTAGCTAGCTGACTAGTCACAAAAGGGCCTTCTTGAAGTGATGGCACGTGCCTTCAACGGAAACAGGGAACACGAACCCCTTCTAGTCGCACAAGGTCCAGACCAACAAGGTCCACATGGTCCAAACCAACACCAAAGCACCCTCCGAACTACCACACACCCTTGCGGGTCCACAAAGCCTGGGTTGCCATCGCTTTCACCCACATCCCTCCACCAACCAACATCTGCCAACCAGGCTCTCTTGGAAGACCTCGTCCAACACCTCCTTGTTCAAATCTCCGCCGAGCGCTTTGCTGCTCCAGGTGCTGGGGTCGGAGGCACTTGGGGTCACCACCTGCTGTCGGCTCCGCACCCAAGAGGCTCGGCTTACGAAGTATGCCGTTCCCCGAGAAGCTCCGTGCCGGTCCTGAAGTCTATGACACACAAACAGCAAAGAGTTGACAGTCGACATAGGTGCCGTGACTGTTCTTAGCAGTTCCCAGGGCCGGGATTTGATTGTGGGTGTGCTTCGGGGCGTATGCTTCAGGATATGCTTCCAGCAGTGTGAAGACTAGAGCAATAAGTATTTTCAGATGGTATGCTTTGGGGCTATGCTTTGCTAAGTCGAACATCCGTCTATAAACTGGACATATTCCGGCCCATGTATTGTGTATGTTGGTTAATATCGTCATTTATCACAAATGGACAATGGAGTAGGGATGAATATACTAATTAGTTATAGTGTTTTCATGTGCTTCATATGTACACGTCGAATCATGGCAACACAAAATCGTTTGAGTGTGAGTTCTAGGTGTTTTGTCAATGAAAACCTCCGCAAGCCTACATGATCTCATTCAAGGTCTTGATCGAAAAGACTGACTCAGCTTGCCACAGTTTAGGGTTGGGGGGGGTGCAGTGCCTGCAGTCACTACAGCCCTCCCCACGCTCGAAGCACAAAAAATATATAAAATCCGCCGAGTCTCAAGTAGCCCTGGCTTAGTTCTTGCGAAGTCCCGCTTCCGCTCCTGGTGTGTGTGCCGTTTGTTTTTGGCTTCGTCCGATGACAGGTTTCTGGGCTTTGAGGTGATGTTCAAGTCACCGTACAGCTACAAGGGATGGAACAAGGCCGACCCTGATCAGCCTCCACTACAAGGCCGTCCGTAGAGCTACTCGAGTTGATCCACCAAGTTCAAGACGGTGTTTAGATCATCCAGGAGTCTCATGTTCGATGGTCTGCCATTCATGTTGTGTCTGCTGTTTCTGCTCTTCTGTGAAAAGACCAAGAAGGAGAGAAGAGTCTTCTCTCCTCTTGTTTTTCATTAAATGGCTCCTTGCTCAAAACCATACCTTTCCTGGCCCTAGGGCTCCAAATACCTCCTCAAAAGCTATTTGGACCCTCTAAACTACCCTTCCCAAACACCTTCTAAAACGATAAATTGGAGCCCTACAGTGTGGTTAAATACATCTAATGTGAAACGTTGTGTCGAGATGTTTCAAGCACCACTTCTTTGACAATTATGTTTCGCTCATTCCCCTCTTGACAATCATGATGAACGAACCAACCAACGGTGCAAAAAGGAGGTGTTGCTACTGCCCAAACGCTCATGGACCTTATATGGAGGGGTGAGACCCTCATATGCATGTACGGGCTTGGGGTCGAACCAATCCCTAGGTGTTGAGGGACCAAAGGCTGTTTGGAGCGTCTGGCTGGTACAATGAACTAGCCGCATCCAGCTTCCACGAGACATCTGAGAAAAGCTGAACAGTCGCACGATGTCGCACATAAACCATCGTGAAAACACGTTGTCAGCCTCTGAGCATCATGAGTTCCGCAAAGGATCACATGGCCAACAACGGAATCAAGACTCCACCAGATTTTTTGAGACCAGGAGGGGACAAACCGCTTTGTCCAACTGCATACAGCGTTTCCCTTGTGGTGGCCCAACTGTACAGTGGCCTGTCATGCAGCCTCCGCAATCGAGTTCCGATCATGAGAAAGGCCCTGAATTCGGCTACCATGGCTACCGGTTCTTGTGAAAGCTTTTATGAGCCGCATCCATCTCCTACAATATCCTACGATCCTCCCCGCGCACGTGCCGCCGCATTTGTGGCAGCTCGTAGCTCATGGCTGGGGGGCAGATCGAAGACAATGGGCGGTCGGGTGGGGTTGTAATCGGATGTGCAGGTGGAGGCGTTCACGAAGAGCGTGACCTCGTCAGCCTCGGGCAAGAGCGCCGTGCAAGTAACATCGAGATGTGTCGAGCCAGCTGGGTTTGAGGGAACACAAAATACATGTGACTGTGCAGCCCAAAAAAATGATGAAACATGCAAAACCGAACAAACTGGCTCCATGAAAAGCAGAAGGTGGGCTTAGTATACTCGGCTGATGTTTCTGCTGGCACAAAATACATTTCGACGCTGAATGGCGATTTTGTCCAATGGTGGGCATTCTTGCATAGCTTGCCACAAAACTGGCTGTATGGTGTGCAATCGTTTGAAACATCCTCGCGCCGCGGCTATCTGCGGCTTCAAGCTGAGCAACATCAACACCATGGCCATATACTTACAACCAAAATCTATCGAAATGTGTGTCTGGTGCTTTCAGGTGAGCTCTGTTCATCTTGCCGCATCTTGGCCAAGTTTGACTCATGCAATATGACCAACGGACAACTCACTCATTTGTCCAAGACCGACCAATGGGTTGGCCGACAAGCTGTGGCTTGGCCATGTTTGATCATGTTTGCAACCTGTGGGTTGGCCATCTGATTCGTCTGTTTTCCTGTGACCAGCTGCTCCACTTCTTCCAGCTCCTGTCATGCCGGGCACGGAAGTGCCATAGCCCGTATGGAGGTGCCCCGCCACCACCGCCGCGATGGCTCGTGCCTGGACTGCCTGGATGGATCAGAACTTTGGTCGTGAGGTTGCATGGGAAACACCACAGAACAATGGCTGGCAGGGCAGGATTCTTCCGCAGTGCCCAACGAAAGCTCAAGAGCCGGACTTCTATCTGTGAGGTGAAGGCAGAGGACACTGAAGAGGACATGACTTGGGTCTATCCCACTACCTGTAACAGTGGATGATTAGTAGAGGCCTCAGGCCTTGTCCAAAAAAAGTGATATTGTTTACTGGCTGTTACAGGTAATAGGACAGACCCAAGACATGAGCACCAAAGTCCTCTACAGTAGGCAGGACTTGACCCAACGACCCTGAGACCATGCTTGTGGAGTCGTGGAGTCTTCCCATGTTCCTCTACCGTCCTCGAGGTTGGTGAAAAGCTATTGGCTCAACATGTGACCAGCCCTACTATTCCAACCACCATTGATTTAACAGGCTGAAAACTGGGTTGGAAACCCCCGCTACAACAGCGGAAGGATCCTTGAAAAGCGAGACAGCGTCAAGTGAGAGATCGAAGCACCTTTGTTTTTAGTCTACTATACGGGTTTTACACTACCAACCAGGTCAACCTAGGGAAGCCTACAAACCTTTCTTTTACCAGGGAAGCCTACAAACCAGGTCAACCTAGGGAACCACCATTGTGGTTTTACACTACAAAGCTTTCTGAAATCATGGTTGAACGGAAGCCTAGGGATAACATGTTGTCTCAAACCCCTCCCCAAAACTTCCGGCTGCACATGTATCAAACAGGCCATGTACCCTACGTCCAACCAAGCAACGGTCCGCACCCGGGACGAACATGAATGATAGAGTCATAGAGTGTTCATATTGTGGCGTCCTTAAGTGCATATTGAAATTATAACACAATTTAAGATTGTATTGTATGTGGATCATTTTTGTGATTAAGTTATCCTATTTACTATGTCCCTTTGGCAGCCTTTGGTCACCTCCACGCCACACTTTCACCGAGGTGCTGCCAGGAGCTCTTCGCATCCTGCGTGCCCTTCGTGCGAGGTCATGTCCACATGCCCCGCAGGCGGCCCATGCACCAAAAGGATATCCGTGTCCTCGGGAATGGCCTGGCAATGCAAACAAAGGACCTGGTTCAAAGTGACCATTTCATCCCCGGGTTTGAGGTCGTCACTTGGACCAAAGGTCAGTGGATGGGACAAAAGGATACAAAAGGAGCACATTGAAGAAGGTTTGCGCAACTTGGATTTGCTTAATGAACCCGGAAGAGAAACATCAAGCATCCCCGGGCCACGGGGATTCAGCAGGAAGATGAAAACTCGGATCCTTAAAACCCGGGCAACGATAGGTATTTGGACCCTCCAAAACCCATCCCAAACAGCTCCGAAACGAAGGGACTTGGAGTCCAAAGGGGGCTCCAAGTAGCCTAGGTCTGGAACTCAGAGGTGACCGGTCTGTGTCCAACCAAGACACCGCGCGAACGTCGCAGATCACATCGATTCCGCGGCACACGGGTGCGTGAACCACACGATCCGTCCATAGCAACGCCACGGTCGATGGTCCTTCCAAGCATCACCCTTTTTGGGCTCTGGTAAATACACCCTAGGCTTCCAACAACCATAAATTTAATAGGCCGAATACCGAATCAACTAAGGATTTTACACTACAAAAACCAGGTCGTTCCCATGGTTTTAATGGTCGAACGGAAGTCTCGGGTACAGTGGTGTCTGATGTCCTTCCTCTAAATCCATATCAACCACCAACATTGGGGCCCCGGTGCCAATCAAGGTGAACGGAACCTTCCACCTGTTGGGTTGGAAGGGACACCAAATGCCCCAAGCCAAGGCGACCTGCAGGTCGCCCAGGAAGCACTTCATAGGGGTAGGGATTCGATTCAGGGACACCAAATCCCGCCTCCCATTTCTTCCTCAGCTCATGTCCCCTGGGACGATTGAAGGCCCAATCGAAGAAGTCAGGCTGCCATGGAGAGCCAAAAATCTTATACCTCGCATCTGTGAAACTTGGAGGGTTTCAGGTCTTGATGGAGCAGGTCTTACCAATGCCACAAGTCTCTTCAACGTTCCGTCCATGTGCTGCAAACCCTAGGGCTGCTGGCCCACCTCCTGAGAAGATGGTTGGGGTGGATTTGCGGGGTTCGAAGCACCTTCTGAGGATATGGTTGGAGCCTAAGGCCCTAGGGAAAGAGGGATCCGGCATGTTCAGCGACAAGTAGAGCAAGTCGACCAAATCCAGAAGTGACACTCGTTGAGCGACTGCTCGAAGGACTAGCTAGTAGAAAGTGACTGCCAGTCCACTCAGAAACCAGCCGTACCCTAGCATTCCAACCACTGATTTAACAGGCTGAATCCCGAAGCACCATTGTTTTACTCAGGGTTTTACAGTTACACTAGAAAACCAGGTCAACCTTTCTGTTTATGGTCGAACGGAAGCCTAGGGCTTGCCTTCCAGGTTCAACTTACCAGGGCTTTGACTTTCGATTCTTTAAAACCCCGGTGCAGAACCCCGGTGCATTGGATGGCAGTCGAACCAGCGAACGTCTGAATGTAGCCCGAAGAAGGTGAATGCACATAGATGAAGAATGGTGAAACATGGTCTGACACAGTCCTAAACCATGCCCAGGTGCCCCCGCACTTCGATCGAAGAGTCTTCCAGATAGGTGCAGGACTTCAGCAAGCCCCTGGCCTTGCTGCAATCGTACGGCTTTCCCTTGTGGAATCGCCGAGCGCCACGGGCCAAGTAGTAGTCCTCATCAAAGGTCACGTCGTGGTTTCCGGCAATGACCACTTTCACCTCAGACTTACCAAAGCCCGATGTCGAGGTCGAGCAGGAGGGAATGAAAAGGAATATGAAACTGGTTGCGGTGGTGGTTGTTGTTGTTGCTACAAACCAATCGTGTTCATATATAAGTGGGTGATACTTTCTGGGCGGCTCGCTTTTTCATGCCACTCCCACCTCTGCGGGATATCGTTCCAGCCATTGGTTGAAGGACTCCACTTGCTCCAGTTCACCGGAGTCTGTGAAGTCTCCCGCGTGCAGCAGCACATCACCAGGTGGCATGTGCTCCTGGGGAATCCTCAGCGCGGGCGTCGCCCAGGCGCGCCCGTGCAAGCGGACGTCTGGGCGCGCAGGCGGTTGACGGTGCCCAGGCTCGGACGTGACCACGTTGACAGATCTAAGGCGCTCTATATAGCACTCTGGTAGTCTGGTATTGACATGAATCCCAAACGTCATTGACATAACCTTCTCAAAACGTCCTTGGATGCATCTTAAGGCTCATCCCATGTAAGTTGTGCGTGTCGCTGAAGCACACGAAGCGCGTCCAGCCTTCCTTCCGTTCTTCCCTCCAGGGTGGTGGCACCACATGCGCCCCAGCAGGACACCATGAGGCGGAGGAAAACTGATCCTGTTGGATTTGCTGTCCAGGAAGCAGAAAAGAAAAAATACACTCCCTGGAACTAACATGGAAGTGGATGGCATGGCCCCTTGGAAAACCATGAAATCCACTACAAACAGGTGGTGAACTCCACTTCCATGTGAATTCATGTGAATTCCAGGGAGAGGCGTTCCCATGCCAGTGGATTCGCGCAGTTCCGGGGAAAGTAAACATCCTCCGATCCGCAAATATATATATATATATAGGTTGGGTCTCTCCTAATACCTGGGCCCAGTGGATGATGACGGTTAGGTTGCAGGCCTTGTTCAAAAATAGTGATGTGCTTGTTTACTGACTGTTACAGGTAAGAACGGACAGAACATATATATATATGTGTGTGTATGTGTGTGTCCTTCACAGGCAAGAAGTCCTTGTGGTGGAAGTTGCCCTCACGACCTCAGGTGGATCATCTGTGAAGCGGTGGGCAAATCCACTGAGTAAAAGCGCTGCATGCAAGCAGGTTTAACAATGCAGTGGCTGGAAAGTTGTGAGGATTTCAATTGAGCTGCACTTGTTTTTGGACCCTGCTATGGTCACAACATGTCCCAACCCAGATCAACACCTGGTTTTTTTGAAGTCCAAGAGTGGGGAACGGATGGACATATGGATGCTTGGCATTGAAACAGGACTTGATGAGAAAGGAATATGGCATCTACCATCTGCAGGCTGTCAGGTCGATCGACCAGAAGAGTCAGCCCGGCGATGATTCGAAGCAAAGCCATCGGTGGACAAAAGGAGGTCCTGAAAAGTCCCCGTTGGCATCGAAGCTGAAGGTCTCAAACTCTAATTTGGAGATGAACATGCCGCACATCGTCCAACGATGCAACGACATGTCAGCTGTAGTTCCAGCTGTCTAGTCCACATGCGTGGAATGAAGCACTGTTCAATGAGGCACTCTAAAATGGTACAGCAAATGTATCGTGATAAACTCCAGTGTCATCCGATCTCATCAAGCTGACAAAACGACATTGTCCCATGTGTTCCAGGCAACATGGCTCACCTGAACCGTGGTGCTTTTTGTTCCATGGCGGTTCAGAATCATCCCGCCAGGCAATAGGGAGATGTAGATCTGTTGATAAGACCCCGCAGGTGGTGATGTGAAACCGTGTGACCGTGTGTGGTGGATTCTATCAATCAACAAAACCTACACAATAAACTTGTGTACTCTAGACCTTTAGGTCATTGTTATGTCACATGTCTACATCTAGAACCCATATTGGTGACCTAAGGAAGTTGTAGGTTCACCATTTTAGGTCATCCGGTGTCATAGGTGTCTACATTTACCTCCGCCACTCCGCCACATCTTTCATTCTTCCCAGTGACCGTCATCCTGGAACTCCACCAGCCAGGTCCCATCGCCATAGTCCAGGGCCAACACTCCGCGGCCCACGCCTTTCACAAAGACCTCGCTGCCCAGCTCCATCTGCTTTTCGGATCGGTGAGCCAGAATCGCTGCGGGGCGAGGAGAAGACATCGAAGTAGTGTTGAATCCAAAATGGGACGGAATCATAATGAGTAAAAGGATGTAAAAGGGGGGGGATGACGTTTTTGCTCATTATCCAGCATTAAGGAAAGTTCCTCTTTGGGTTGCCTAGAGGCCATTCTTCGAAAAGTCTTGGACTCCGCAAGGTGATTCTGTTCCAGTCCCACCGAGCCTCCCTGGGCATCAAGGGATGAACCCACTTCAAGGTGTGTCAGCTGAAGTTTGCTCGACAACATGATAAAACCCCCTATGTGAAGAGGTTATAAAATAAAGATGGGAGGGTTTATGAATCAAGAGTCTACATGAGGAGCTTCATCGTCCTCAGATGCTTCACTGCCTCACGACCAACAGAAATCGCTCCACGTCGCCAGGCTGACGTCGAACCTCTCAAGACCAACAGGGTCGACCCCCCAAAACCAAACTAGTCTTGATGTCTCATGATGTCTTCTCGCCCTAAAGACACCTGACTCCCGACCCGCTGCAATCCGTGAAAAACGGGTGGTCCTTACTTTCCACCTGACCCGATCCAAGTACCGAACCTCAGGTACGGTGATTGGAGACACTGTGATCTAGGTTTTGAGGGTCCAGTCGTACCGAACCTGAGGTTCGGTACGAAAACGGAGCTCTAGGGATATATATATATATATGTTTGCAGGTGATCCACGTACTTCCTTGGACTTCGGTCTCGTTCCCGGCGACGACGGCCGGGTTCCGCGGCCGGGTTCCGCGGCTCCTCGAGAGAGGAACCTCCACTTGGCAGCGGCGAGGATTGAAAGCGGCCACGACCTCGGTGGCCCGTCCTGAGGTGACCTTCGTCCGGCCACGACCGACCTTCGGCGGCCTGGAGACACCTTCCCCTACAAGTCAATGACCTTATGAAATACTGAAGCGGGTCATACAAAAACACTACTCAATAGGAGGTTTTCAGGACCAGGTTTTACTGGGTCTTTGGACTTGTAGGGCTTGATGGAGCCTGGTAATGACTGGGAATCACCATCAGGAATCATCCCAGCACCGGGAGCCACTGTGATGTTCGCCGCTTCTTTAGAAAGTCTGGCAAACACATGTTTTGGACCTGGCGTGATTGCGAGCATGTCTCAGTTCACCCGTCTTGCGTTGTTACCACCGAACCTGCCGTTATGAAGTGGAGCTGATGAATGGTCGAAGCCTGCAGGGGAACCCCTCCCAAGCCAATGTGCGCAAGTGATTAAGAGACTGGACGCAACACAAGGGTCTGCAACACAAGCATCTGAGGTTAACCAAATTGTTTGATATTCTTGACACATGTTCATTCAATAGTATAGATAGATTAGATAGATTAGATAGATAAGCTATATAGATAAGATAGATAAGAAAGATAGATAGATAGATAGATAGATAAATAGATAGATAGATAGATAATACGTAGTTTGTCTCGCTGCTTCTTGTGTGCTTTGCATGAATAGGCAAGGGCGTGGCTTTTCTTGCGATATGCCCTGATCAGGTGGAGTTTGCCCTTCATTGCACAGTGTTTTGCTCTTTATGCGTCATGTTCTCAATGAGTATGATCTCTCTTTTGTCCAAGGCCAACATGTGTGTCGTGTTGTTTGACTCACTCCCTCACTGGCTGCTAGCTGGCTCTTGTGGGACCTGGCTCTGGTAGTCCGTTGAAAGGATCTTTCTCTTGTTTCATCTGAATCTCTTGGCCCAAGCAGCACCTCATCGGTGGCCTCACTGATGCCCCCGAGCCATTCAGGTAGTACTGTATAATTATAGTTACCGCACTGGTGGGCTCGAGCTGGGCTTGATTCATGAGGTTTCTTCATGAATCCTATGTCAACATTACAATATGGCCATAAACCATGGAAGCGCGTAGGTTTTGGAGCAATAACAAACATGGAAGTGCGTGGGTAGTATCAGCACCACCTCAACATCCTCAGGCATCCCTGGGGGGAGTAGCCACGGTCCAGCCCAGGTGAAGCAACTTCCACGTATGAAGGAATCAGTCAGAAATGAAGAACGCTACTAGGGGCTCCTGGCCTTACTACTAGGACTAGTTACTAGGAGCAAGAATGATCATTGGCATTTTCTACGTGGAACTCCCCAAGCACACATCCAACCACGCAACGTGGAAGGCATGAAAAACAGGGCTGGTGCATTCTACTTTGTGCTCAAGCATATATATATATATATATACACCCTGGCACTCCAACCACTGAACCTCAGGAGGTAGCCCAGGAGCCCAAACGGATCCAAACGGGATAATACAGATCACCCCGGAGCCCCGGTGCCACCTGCAGGGCCCCCCCAACGCTGGCCAGATCACGCTGCAGGTGTTGGAAGGGCCATCGAGGACGACGAGTCCACGCCACGAGCAGTAGGACCTCGGCGACGAGGCCCTCGCGGTCGGGTGGGGTGAGGCGGACCGGACCGGGCCCCATCACTGACTAGAGAAGTAAAGGATAGGCAGCACATGCCAGTCAGTGAAGTGCAAGAATCGATCTATCTGATCAGGAATTATGGATTGGGAGCTTGATACAGCCAGAGCTTGGCTCGGAGTCACGAGTGAGGCGCCTCGAGCTTGGATGTCCATCGCACGCGAGTCGTGTTTTCGAGCGTTTTCAGAGCGCAGCCAAGCGCCAGTGCCTCTGAAGCGGTTCAAGATTGGTTTCCGGTTTCCGGTTTTGACGGCTGCACCATGTGACCAGACAAACCAAAGGTACCCTTAGGGATCCAAGTAGCTTCTCAGAAAATGATTGGAGACACTGTTCTGTAGGTGCCACATTGTCGGGTCCCATCATGCCGTCTGAGGTTCGGTACGACTGGATCCATAGGGAAACCAGCATGAACCAGCTTCAAAGGAGTGCTTCATGGAGTGTTCATCGAAGGATGCCCCGGATTCCGATCCGGATTCCGATCCCGCGACGCTCGTGACGTGGGGACCCCATTCCTGGAAGGAAGCTGCTGGACAATGAGTTTTAAGGCACCAGTCCCATCGCGGTGGACAGGAACGGCAGTACGAGGTAACTCCCCTCCTGAGGTCATTCAGTGTCCCTGCAAAATAAAGGTCAACCGTAATTACTTTCCATCTGTTCTGTTCTTGCTTAGTCCCCCCCCTGAAAAAAAAAGAAGCCTTTTCAGGTTATCCACTGATGGGGTATGCTTCACCTGAGGTCCTTTCCTCCCCACTTCGTTCTCCCTGTTCTTCATGCCCCAAGCACTGCCACTGGCAACACCCCCAACAGCAGCCAAATCAAAGGCCCATCCGTGGACAAAAGCCCGCGCTCACGCTCCGCCATGGGCTTCCGGTCACCAAAATGGAGACTTATAAGTGTCTGAAACGCGTTGAAAGGTGCACGTGGTGGTTGATGATTGAAATATCTTAAACACAAAACGCGGCTCTCAGTGAGCCTGGGCCTTGTGTCGACCTGTTGGTCAAGTGTGTTGCTTCTTGTGTTGTTGTGATCTAAGAATCTTTGCAAGAATCCATGGAAGTGGAAGAGTTCGCTGGAAGACCGTGTTCCTGTAGTTTCAGAACGTCTGCTCAGATTCCATGATCTGACAAAGGGCAGCGAGGCCCGGCTGACAAAGCTCCAGTGTTTGTCAGAGACCATTTCCTTTGTTGCTCTACTAGTTAGTTTTTTTGTGTTTTTTCCCTCCTGCACTGCCCAACTGACAGAAGTTTGGGGTTGGTTTTGAGTTTGTTTTCTTTTTTTGAGACTTCGACTTCGAATGTATCTTTCTGCGGGGGTACTGGGACCACCGAAATGAGTTGAACTCAGTGTACATCACACCATCATGGAGGTGAGAGAGCTCTTCCCAGGACTTGCATCACTTCATCACTTCATCCGATCAACCCGCGCCTCGTCGAGGATGATATGAGAATATTTGTGGATCTGCCCTGGATCATTCACCTCAGGTCGTCTTGCGGTCAACTGCCCGGGGTTCGGCCACCCTGAGCTCTGCCGTTCGGACTCGGTTAGAGCATCATGAGGAAGAAAGCCCGAAGACCAGCCAGTGTTTTCTTGGGGGGGGACCTTCAGGTTCATAGAGCTACAGGTCGCGAGAAGCTCTGACAAAAAACCAAGGTGCCCTTTTAAAGTACCCAGACGCGACTAGTGGGATTGGAATATATGCTGATCAGGCCAGGGGTGGTGCCAGGGGGGTCCATGTAGGCATATATGGCAGTCCCATGGAGCGTCTGGGGTATAGAGTAAGGGAGGCATTGAAGATCCTATTCAAGCAGTGAAGGAGCGTGGACTTGTTTAACTAGTGACCATGGACGCTCTAAGCTTCTGGCCAAAACCTGCAAGAGGTACCCCGTCGTGACCTTGGCCATCTGCAAGCACTGGTGAGAATGCAAAATTGGTGAGAATGCAAAATCACTTGATCATACCAACCATGTATGGAATGTTAAGTTTAGATAATCGATTGAATTTGACTGAATAGTTGAGTGACTCGTGACCATATAATCATCCATGGTCCAAGTAACTATTCCTTACGTGGAGGGTCGACGGGATGTTCTTCTCTGCTGTGTAATTCGTTCGGTTCATGACTGTGAGCCGGTCAATTGATCGGCATATACTCTTCTGTGGCCACCAAACACTTGGAGCCTTGCCTTCGAACGAGCCTTCTCATCTCCTTCGCCGCCCTGGGGCTCTTCTTCGGTCACTCTCGGTCCCTCAGAGGCTCCCGGACGAAGAGTAACTTGGTCCTGCGCAGATCGAAGACACTCTCGCCTTGGGCACCAGCGGCGCCGGCAGAAAGAGATCAATCTGGGACGCTCCTCCGATTTGGGAGATGGAAACAAACACAGAAAGCGGTGGTCAGAAGGATGAAGAAGAAGAAACACTAATTAACATCAATTGTGTCTTTGTTTTTCTCCCATGGTGTGACCTTCAAACGCAGAGAGAAGTCAAAGGATGGTGGTGTTCAACTACATGCACCTTGACTTGGACGGAGCTCTCATTGAAGTTCATGACACGAAGCTTGCTTTTCTGCAACTGTTCTTCTTGAATCGAATTTCCTTCCATGACGCCTTAGCCCATCATGCGCACACAGGATGGAGCCGTAACCTCCCATTAATTAATCAAGCCCAGCTGGAGCCTCCAATGCCAATACTAAACGCTTGACATTCCCCTAATAAGTTCCACAATCCCTAAAAACCTCTCTAGCAACATTCTTCCATTTTCCCTTATTAAACTCTATCAACATCTATCAACAACTTAACGTTTTCTAGCTCACAAAGGGTACCCCTCTCACCGGCCTCAGTGTTCACACGGAATCATATCATCTCATCATCCATCATCAGGTCATCACCTTTCCTTTATTAAGGGGACGTGGTCTCCAATCCCTCCAATCTCAACCTTGTTGACCTTGAAGGGGGGCGTTGATTAATCATGATTAATCAAGTGTTGGCATTAGCCAAACAACCTACAGTACTCCTCTAAAGACTCTAAAGGTGGCAGGGTCAAAGTTTAGATAGTTTAGAAGGCGTATGGGTGGCTCAGTGGGAAACAAACCGTCGCAAGTGGCACACAAGCCACCAGGAAGTGCCATGCACATGTGTTGCACAAAAAGATTACTACATAAAACCCTCATCCACAGTCTCCGCCATCCAATGCAGTACCTGGCATGTTTGAGTGACGTATACTCCTCCCATCCACGAATTGCTCTCCTCCATGTATAGCCCGTGAAAGACCTTAAAATGTAGACTCTTGATTCAACCCCCCGAGACATGGATTCCAACGACCTCTTTCCACTCATCTCCGTGCCCCCCCGCGCCGTAGCGTCCTTGCTACTATAACCCTGGGAGTCAAAGACCATAAAGAGAATGGTCTTTAGGGGACCTGAAAGGGAACTTCCTTTACTTCAGCCGGTCAAAATATAGTCTTTGGACTTCCAGGGATAAGTTATACTATAGTAGTTCCTTGCTCCCTTCGTAGCGATGCCCTCGTTCCGAACCCAGCGATGCCAGCAGCTAGACGTTCGTCGCTTCAGGCCGCCCGATCCTTCCGTTCCTCCGTTCTCTCCCGTCCCGGCCGGGTCGCCCGAGATCCGGAAGCCCACCAGTCCCCCGATGGACACCTCGCCTCGGCCCCGCGGGTAGGTCGGGACCGGAGCGAGACCGGAGCGAGTTCCCGGACGCCGTGACGATGGTGGTGGTGGGAGTGAGGAAGGCTCGTGTGGGGGCCGACGGCGGCTCAGCTCTTGGTTGCGCATGCGGTCGTGCTCGCATCATCGGCCAAGGAACCACATGCGACGGCCAGCTCCAAAAGGCCGTTCGACTTGGGGGAGCTCCCCCGGCAAACGCCAAGCGAGCTGTTGGGGAACTCCTTTCCTGGGACTCCTTTCACAGGTCCAAAAAACGAAGAAGCACCATCCGATCCCATCTGACCCATACAAATTCAGCGGTCTTCCATGCTCTTCGCATGCTCTTCCTTGTTTCTTTCGTCTGGAGACACGCCCATCTCACCTCCACCCGGGGTTGAGTGCCGGGGCCCATCTCCTTGGCCACGCGCCTCACGTCCGGTGCGGTCTGTGGTGACCCAGTGCGACCGACACAACCCACGACCCGTCTGGGACTGCCATATCTGATGCGACACATGGGACTGCCATATATATAATACATATTATATATGCCGACCCATTGACCCCTCTGGCACCACCCCTGGTCGTTTCTCAGCATATATTCCAGTCCCATTAGTCGCGTCTGGGCCATATCTGACGCCTGAGAAGTGGCGCCAGGGGTGGCCTCCGCGCCAGGGGTGGTCCATGGGTCGGCAGTCCTATGGCAGTCCCAGACGGGTTCGTGTCTGGGTTGAACATGGCTGACTCGATTCCGTCCAGCACAGGGCGGCAGTGTGAGTCCTTCGAACAGTAAACTTTGCAACGGGATGCAAGGGGTCAGTTAGTCAGTTGCGGGGATCATCAGTGAGAGGCAAATAGCCTCTGGCCATGAGTTCGTACTTCCAACATCCTACCAGTTGGAGGGGCAAACCATGAGGACGCATCCGTGTGCAAACCTACATCTCCTCAAAGACGGTACCGTGTGACCCTTTGCCACGCGACCCGGGGCCAATTGCCGTGTGACCCTATGCAGCAGAAGAGGGAGCTGTCGTCAATACCACCACGCCTACCACCACGCGAGGTTCACAGGAACGACCTGCAGTTCCATCACACATCACACATCAGGTTCCAAAAGTAACTACCAGCAGTCACAAAGGGTGTGGTTTTGAGTTCCTATATAAGTGAGTTCAAGTTCCTGGAAGACGATCCCATGGAACCTGAAAACCCCTGGTTGGTAGAGGAAAAATCGTCTTGGGACCAAGACGTCAGGGTCTATGTTAGTTTTCGGGAGTGTAATTGTTATTTACTTGCTTAAGTTGCAATTACTGTTGCAATGGTATAATAATGTTTGTGTGTGTGTGTCCACTCCTGTTTCCAAGGACACTACTCTAGTTTTTCTTTTCTAATCTACCCTACAAGCTTTTCTGTACAGAAGCAGGGGGACATGGCGTGCGTTCAGGGACCATGTCCAACGAAGCTACCTGACGCACGGGATATGAGAGCTGATCACTCTCACGTACCTGCAATTTTCCAATTGTTTGAGATTTCTAAGTCAGTGCAACGCCGTCTCATACGTTGTTTCCTGCAGTATCTAGATTTAAAGGGCTAATGCACACCGCGAAGCTACCTGAAATCACGCTCCACGGAGCAACCTTCTCAAGTGTGTACTATATCCAGCTAACCTCTCTCAGGACCATGCGAAAAGCGGCGTCATGCCTGGCGGCTTAAGCGCCGTCGTTCCACTGGGCATCCCGGCTGTGACAAGGTCAAGGCAGCTAAGCGCCGCGGTTGGGTACAGACCTTGGGTGCCAGGCACGGCACACGCACGCTTTGCGCAGCAGGCCCAGGCCGCGCAAAGCGGCTTTGCCGGACGGTTGTCCGGTTCAAAGAGAAGGGGGCCCTGAGGGCCCCGCAATTGGTCCAGCACACAGGCTTCTGTGGAATCTTGGGATGATTTGGGAGTAACTTTGGTCTTTTCTAGGGTAGGTGAAGTCTTGTTTCACCACCCGCAATGGCAACCTTGTTACTTAGTGTCAAGGTTGCTCAGTGCCTGTGCATTCTATTGTAGATATTCTATTCCATCCTTAAGGTGGAACATCAATCAAGCACTGGGCAAAAACATTTGGCAAAGCAATAATTACTCATCACTACCAAAGATCCGAGAAATCCTGGATCCAAACACCTTTTTTTATGGATCGTCTCTCTGTGGTTGGTGGCGACTTGAATCTAC